ACTCTTATATGATTAATTTAACGTAGGGTTAATTTTTGTCAAGCTCTTTTCTTTAACTTATTTAACAGGCAATCTTATTCGAACATTAACAATTCATCTATTTCTTTGTCTTATTATGGTCACTATCATGTCTGTATAAACGTGTATACTTGATCACATGCGACAGCCTACGTATATATTCGTCACTTTACTTTAAATGTTAATCGCTTAAATATCGCTTGATGAATCATTTAAATGATAGTTATTATTTGACTTTCACAATATAACAAACCATACAAGTGATAACATACTACGGTATTTTTGATAGTAAGGATTCCTAAAACTATTACCACCTTGTTTAGGGAGTCTATACTAGCAGTGGAATCCAGTTTGAAGCGCATTTCGTCCTGTTTGGGACTCGTCAGCTCGATTTACCTGCATCTCAGAGTTGACGTTCACTCTGGGACTCGAACCCAGTACCTTTCAAGAATTGAAATAAAAAAAATAAAAGTTGACAAAAAATTTTGAAATATTAACATAACTAGTGGTTTTTAAAATTATTTAACGGATAATTGATGAATTAATCTAAGATAGACAATCATTAAAAACCTGGAAGCCCTGAATAACCGTTTCGGGATGACATAATAGAAGCCATGACTAGTTTAGTCCTGTCTGTGTCAGTTGTGAGATATTTATCGATTTCAGACAATCAATGAATGGTTGCGCAAGATCTTGAGTTGATTGAAGTTGTGGCTCGAAAAACTCAACGACTTTATAATTAATACATTTTCTGAAGAGGTTGATTATTGTGCTTTGACACAAGCTAACTTAAAAACAGCTTATATGATACTAAACTAGTATTCCAACGTAACATAAGATTATGGCTTTAAGCTAGTTAAATCAATAATCTATTGATTAGTATTAGACCAACTTTCAAAACCTGGAAGCACAGGACGGCCGTTTCCACGATCCGACACACGGGATTTGAAACTAGGACATTCGATCCAGACCACTGAGCCGACATCCAAAGGTATTAATGTCTAACTTTAACCAATTCATGATATTTCGAAATCATCTTTCATTGTCTTTGGGAGGTAATTGGCTCACACCCAACACTGTTAGAACCCACCGGTCACGACTTTTCACTAGAACTCCGAGAAATACCTCTCGAAGCTATTTATATGTGAGCACATGGTAATTCTCAGTATAGGGTTGTAGATTGGTTGAAGTTAGACATTAACACCGTTGGATGTCTGCTCAATTGTCTAGTGGTTAGGCGTTCTCGCGCGAGACCGAAGTTCTGGATTCGAGTATTACGCGCGGGATCTTGGATGCTCTAAAAACCATGTTTCCAGGTTTTCAATGGAGGTCTAGCTCATGAATTCAGTTATTAAAATTATGGTGTAATTTGTATAATACATTTTGCTGATTAAACTTATTTCTATAATGGGACTCCTCGGCAGTGTGCACCCACGATCCCGCACGCACGAGATTCGAACCCAGAACCTATCGGTCTCGAGCCGGAGACCTTAACCGATAGATCACTGAGCCGGTGTCCAACGGTGTCAATGTCTAACTTCAACCAATGCTTCTAGTGCTTCCAGGTTTTCGATGGTGGTCTAGTTTCAATTGACCCATGATTTCAACTATGAAAATACTAAATTCTCCACAAAACCCCCTCTGATCTATAAAATTATTTCAATGAAAATTACGGATAGATAAGTAGACAATAAAGATTCAGTGTAGTTATGTATCACTACAAGATATCATAATGTATATCTAAAAAGAAGGTTGGAAGCTGTATGTGAAACAAATCTACATAAGTGAATCAATGTTTCCCATTGACAAACAAAAAACCAATTATTTGGCTTCTTGAAAAAAAAATTTCCCAAATTATAATCCACATTTATTTTCTTATGAAACATCTGTCTAATCAATTATTACATAATAGAAAAATCCTTCCTTAAAAATTATTCAGAATACAATAGTGATAATGTTTCTGAAACATCCAGTTGAAAACTACCAAAGTCATTTAATTTACAATGATATAATAATTTGTAATATAATATGGAACCCTTCAGCAGTGGTCATTCATGACCTCACACGTGGGAATCGAACCTAAGACCTTCGGTCTCGCTCGCGGACGCTCAACCCCTAGACCACTGAGCCGATAACCAGCGGTGTTAATGTTCAACTTTAAACAATTCATGATAGTGTGCAACCTTTTATAAATTGTCTGAGGATGATAAGTGTCTCACACCCGATACGGATTGGATTGATCAGATTAGTTTTGGTTCATCATTTTTTAACTGTTTTACTCAAAGCAACATTGTAACTTATAGTAAATAGGTTAAAAATACAATACATTCATGTATATACAGATAAAAAGATGAAGAAAAGATAGCAAAACTTTAGGTTAGACAACTATTGAAAATCTGGAAACATTGGATAGCCATGATACTTCTTAGCAGTGTATCCATGACTCTATCAAGGACAGGAGCTACAATATCCGGTTTCACATGCAAGTGCTTAACCTCCAGACCACTGAGCTGGGATCCGGTGGTGTAGATGTCTAACTTGAATCAGTTTGAGATATTGCAAGACCATTTTTCATAGTTAATGATGAGTACTTTTCTCAAACCATATACGAGTGGACTACATTTATCACTAACATTCAATAAATCTCCATAGATCTTTGCACTGACAACAAAATAATTGTTTTAAAAGTGTAGCAGATTTCCAAGTATGACTTTTAAAAAATTATAAACCATCTATTTTCTGTCTTACCTGACACATTTTTCTATGTAGGTCCTGAGTTCGAAGCCTGTGAGGCGGGATCGTGGATGCTCACTGCCTCTGAAGAGTCCCACAATAGGAGGAAACGGCCGTCCAGTGCTTCCAGGTTTTCCATGATGAATAATTCTCAACTATCCAGTCAAAATCTTGAATTTTTAGCTAAACACATCCTAATAATTAAGTCTCAATAATGATTCGAGATTTAAATGAACAATACAGTAACATATTTTGTCACATCAGTAATTTTCACATAAGTCTACGTATATATCTAAAAATAGCTCATTATTTCCTTGATGTTTCTTTCAGAGTAATTGCAAAAACGTTTAATAACTTTGAACGAAATAACAACGGAACAACAATTAGGTTTTATAAGCATAGATGGATAGTGGCTAGCAGTAGAATCCAGTTTGACGCGCGTTTCGTCCTATTTGGGACTCATTGGCTGGATGTACCTGCATCTCAAAGTCGGTATTCACTCTGGTATTTCAACCCAGTACCCTTCGCTTCAAACGCCAAACGAAACACGCTTTAAACTGGATTCCACTGCTAGCCACTATCCATCTTTGCACATAATACTTATGAATTAAGGCAATATCTATAAAATCCAAAAAGGATGCACATATAAGATGGTGGTTGGAGGTGGTCAACAGGAAACCTTGGACCCGGGTTTCGTGCTACTTGGCACTAGTCAGCAAGGTGTACCTGTAATCTTGAGGGAACTGGTGCTGACAAGTGCCGAGGATGCACGCATGCCAATATGAGACTGATCAATTGCAGTCCTAAACATCAATGATTAGATTCAAGTAAACAATTTCAAGTTAATTCAACAGTTAGATTTTACCTAGTTAATGAGGATTCTAGCGAATATGCATAGAAATAAAGAAAGGGGAATATATATGAAATATATGAAAGTAAAAAATAGTCTACGACGAAGATAATGTCCATGATCCTAATGAAGATCTAAAATAATTACCGGAGTTTTATCTTTTCACAGTTTCAATTAAGTCATAAATGTAAACCAGTAGATTTAGATTTTTATTACCCTTTTTTGTTTTATAGTCTTATGATGAAAGAGTTAATTTTAGGATATTTCTTCTTTAGCGAGTTAGTTTTCTATGGGATGAGGTCTCTAACCGCATGTCCAACCTTCCTCTGAGCTTCAGACCGGTAGTAACCCCTAGAAGGGGCAACATGTGGAGTTAATTTTACGATGTAGAGATTTAAATGACGTAATCAAATCAATAGTTATTAATAGATAGAACTATCAATCAGTTGATTGGATGCAAAACTGTTATTTATGTACCAAATAATTAAGGGATAAGAATTCAGTTAATAAAGAAATTTATAACCCAGTACTTAAGTTTTTCACACTGGGTATTTCCACGCAAATGATTTAAAGAAAGCGTTTTTTTGTATGTAGAAAATGTATTCACTGAAAGATCATTCTAATCAGGAGTTTTGACTGTTAATATCAATTACGTTGACTGGTCATTAATTGTGTTTGATGATGATCGTAGAATGTCATAAATTTAATGAGGAGGGATAAATTCATTAAAATTTATGTCTATGGTCAGTTATATACTTATTACTTTTATTATTATTAGATGGATAGTGGCTAGTAGTGAAATTCAGTTTGACGAGCGTTTCGTCTTATTTGGGACTCGTCAGATGGATGTACCTGCACCTCAGAGTTGATGTTCACTCTGAGACTCCAACCTAGTACCGTTCACTTCAAACGCCATCATGTTATCCATTTAGCTATTGAGTCCTCATAGCCACTTGCTTGTGCAATGGGATGAAGTTTAAATTCATTTAGCATTGTTTGTTTGAATCTTCCCATTGATGCTTTTAAGACTGCAATTGATCAGTCTCTACATCGAGGCAATACGTACAGTATGCAGATATGCCAATTAGAGACTAATCAATTGCAGTCTTAAAAACATCAATGGGAAGATTCAAACAAACAATACTAAGTGCATTTATTATTATTATTATTATTATTATTCGTAAGGCTTATTATTCCTTCGTTATTGATATACAGGAAAGAATTATGAACAGTCTAATTTGGTAAAAGAAGCTTTCTTTTTCCAACTAACTCCATGTGTTTTGTCGTTATGTTTGTTATTGTTTTGGTTTGTGAATTGTATCGGAATCTAGAACGCTAAGTGTTTTGAGTTTAGTAATATTTAAGCATCCTAAAGTTAGTTTTCTTTTTCTTATTTTAGATTGAAACATTGAAAGATTTACTTGATGGTCCTGATGAATTTGTAGCAACTGGATTTGAACGTTTTCGACCATTAAATGAAATGAATCTGTTAACGAGATGTTTTAGTCGTAGCTCAAGTCGTACAAGAAATCTAACTAAATCACCTACCAGTTCAATGTTACCATCTTCGAAACAAATTCATGAACAATCCAATAAAGGCATCTGTTTAAATGGTGGATTTATTGGTAAATATAATTTTGATTATCTGACATAAACTCATATGGTGAACGGTTGCTCAAACATCGTGGATTGGTTGAAGTTAGACATTAACGGATGCCGGCTCAGTGGCCTATCGGTTAAGCGCTCTGGCACAACACTGGTAGATCCTGGGTTCGAATCTGGCAAGGCGGGATCATAATAGGACGAAACGGCTGTCCAGTGCTTCCAGGTTTTCTATGATGGTCTAGCTTCAATCGACTCATGCTTTCAATTATGAAAATACTGAAATCTCCACAAAATCCCTTTTGATCTATAATACTAGAATTGACAAAGCATTTTCGAGAACAAGTCAATTTAATAACAGTAATGTTAGAGTAACGAGTTGAATATTAAAATAATATAAGAACAAAAAAACTTAAGGGGAATATAACCTCCATTTCAATCTGTAGTAGTATAGCCTATCTCATAGTAGAGACAGAGGTCGTAAACACTTATTTAAAATACAAAGGTTTGGATTGAGAACATGGATTCTAGCACAATCAGCGATATGCTAGAGACCAATAGTATGTTTGATTGAATACAATTAATAAACCGAAAGATGTATTTAAGTCAATATGATGTTAATTGTAAATTAAGTGATCAAGGATAGATCTCTTAATCGTCTTTAACAGTCACTTTTTTCAAAAAGTCTAAATGAGATCCTATTGTATTTCCAGCTCCACAAAAGCATTTAAATTAACTCTTATACATGGATGTGAAGAATTCGAACAGCTTATCTTTGCCTGTGGTTACTATTTTTTGAACAGGTGTGCAATGCCACATTCAATTCAGCTGTACAGAACATTTTATTTAATACTTTTCTAGACCTTTGTGTTAATATCTGACAACTTTTTTCGTTTATGAATTGAAATCCCAAGAAAACTGACGCATTCAAAACAGGCGCTTGTTTTTATATAATTTCTTTATTTGTCGATGAATTCAGTCGAATATTCATCCATACTAAGTGGGCTACGGTTGCTATACAATTTTTTTCAAGATAGTGTTGACTGAGCAAATTAATTTGATGCCATGAGTCAGAATGTTTACTTAGGTTCTTCAGAATCTACCTGATAAACAGCCAAAGAAATCAGTATATTGTTCATCAGAAGATTTGATACCTATAGATCTTCTCAGTGTTCTATGAAATCTGCTTTAGTTTCAGATGTCTTAAAGTGTAATACTATTATTTCATTCTTTCCATAAAATGAATCTAATTAATCAGAGAATGTTGTTAAATATCCTAAGAAAATCAGCCTGTTTATTTTCCTCTGGTACTATAATTGTATTATCTATTTCGTAATAGTAAGCTGTTAGGTGATTAATTAAGTCTTTAAATTATCCATTCTTACATTTTATAAGAAAACCTATGTAAGGAGAAGACACGTTAGTTACTGGATAAGTATATTATCTGACTGACCGTAGAACTCACTGTTGAATCGAAAAAAGATTATTCATCCAAAACCTAAGTATTAACTTTTCTATTGTATCGCTATAAACCCACTGTTCATTGTATTGCTGTAGTGAACGAGAACATAAGCGGAGACTACCAAATGTAATCGAACATAAAATTACAGAATCTCTAAGTAAAATCTGTGAAACATGCAGTAAATAATTCATTTTCAAAATATTAATCAAACGTCTCAAACTTCACAGTTCCTTCATTTCTACACCAATCACTTTCTATTCTCGTTCTCGTCTCTTCGATCTTCTTGACCTTCTACCTTCATACATTTCACTTTTGATTGATGATATATACTACTTATATCTATCGACATCAGTAGCCCATACAACATTGGGACTTCAGTGAATAAAATTAATACACCGAATGTTATCATGAAATTATCTTTGACAATGGATGTTTTTATATTACCGATAAACTTAAAGGAACCCTTCATGCTATGAATAACTATGGTTTTTCTAGAAAAAAAAGTGTAAGATGTTTCCGTGGCATTATAAATATCCTCCAAGATGAGATAGAGAAACAAATCTTTTTTTTTAAATAAACGTTTTGAAGACAGTACAGTCTGTTTATTGTAGTTTCTATAGTTTTCAGTATACTGAGTAGGCTTACTGAAACTAAATAGTGTAGCTTTATCTTTATCAAAGATTTGGTTCTTTCTTAAACTATAGAGGTGAGATTGTTTTTGATTGATTATCTTTCAAAATTTCTTTTCACTACTAAGTAGGGTATTCATATTTTCTACAAAATCTTTCCTTTCTAATATAAACTACATCTAAACGTATATCTGGCTATGATATCAACAAAGTGTCGTTGGATTAAGGACAGCGTACTGTAATTACTACAGCTAGAATCGACTAATATGGATTAAAATCTTTTAATATTATCATTTAAAAAGGTCAGTAGTTCTCTAGTCTATGAATATAAGTTTCCGTACATAGTTTCAATGTCTATCTTAATAACAGAAAACTTAGGACAAGTTATTATTAAGAAGAATACTCCAAAACTTATATGTACAGACCTGGATTAAATGAAAACTTGTTTTTCCTATTCTTTCATCAGTTTAATGAGTTTCCTTTCACTTGTTGCATGAATAACCTTCATCATAATTGTTATAACTTGTGTGCGCTTGTTAGAGTGGAGCGATTTATAGATCGGACCAATGACATAAGAAACTCGTACGAGCAGTCTAGAGCACTTGTCAGTCATGCTATCTGCTTAGTCCAACCAGTTAAGTCCAGAACACCAATAACAACTTCTGCAATATAAATCATTATTCTCAAACATACTGGGTTTATATACCAATCAAACTGACCACATCGTACCATAAAATAGAAAATAACATTTGTAAAAGATTCAGCTAAGTATGGCTGTGAATATGGGGAACAGTAATTAATAGACTGAGGATAACTCAAGAATAGTTCAATAATAGTTCACAAGTCAAAATAAAGCTTATAGTAAGAGGAATAGGAACACGAAATTTACTTTTCAAATAAACAGAGTGAAATTTCGCAGTGATGATTTTCAGCATCTCACGTATAAAAAAAACTTGAGTATCTTTCTATTCTATTGAACCCTTGAGCAGTCTAGGTAAGTGTAATATACTTCTAGATAGAGCTCGATTTAGTGTACTTGTCTATAAGATAAACACTTATAGTCGCTTCTCCAAGCTCTAAGCCTCCCATTAAATGTTCTTTGAGTACGTTTAATGTAAATTTCTTACTCATAATATTTCAGAATAGTAAATCCATAAATGGGAATTTTCTCCTATTCTGTTATTTATTCTTATATCATTTATCACCAATTGGTACCTATAAATCTGTCAAATAATTGTATCTATCATTTAGTAGAATGTGAGTTTCATTGAACTGATTGTTCATAGATATCCTCTCAATCAATTCTTCTTTACATAGTTGAAAGCATGAGCCAATTGAAGCTAAACCACCATGGAAAACCTGGAAGCACTGGACGGCCGTTTCTTCATTAATTCAATACATTACACCCAATGAAATCACAGCAGAATATATCACAATGTCATGATAAATCTATTTTTTTCTATTTAATGTAAGAAGGGGTTCTTGTAGATATTATAGTAATTTTAAAAGTAGAGATCATGAGTCCATTTAAACTAGACTACTATCCAGTCCTTCCACGTTTTCCATGGAAATATCTGAAATGTATATTATCAGAAGGGTTTTTTTGTGGAGAATTTAGTATTTTCATAGTTGAAATCATGAGTCAATTGAAGCTAGACCACCAAGGAAAACCTGGAAGCACTGGATGGCCGTTTCATCCTATTGATCTATCAGTTAAGTGCTCTGGTGCAATACTGGTAGGTACTGGTTTCGAGTCTCGTGACGCGAGCTCGTGGATGCACACTTCTGAGGAGTCCTATAATACGACGAAACGACCGTCCAGTGTTTCCAGGTTTTCCACGATGGTTTAGCTTCTATTGTCTCACCCTTTCAACTATGAAATATATATCTTAGTATTTCATTCTATGAAAAAAAAAATAAAGAAGTGCTTTATGTTGAAACTGGTCATCACATGTACTTCACAATGTTTTGTTTTCTTGTTTAAATTTATTACTAAACAGGATTACATTTACATCTTTATAATAATTATTCACATGATATTGATAATTGAACATACAGTAAAGCAGTATTTCATATACTCATTTACTGCACTTTTCATCTTAGCCCCCCCCCTCTCTGTCTCTTTTTTTCTTCCCTTTATTGTTGTTTGTCAAAAAGCCAAAGGAGACAAATACACCTGAATACAAATAGAAATAGTGTAATTGTTATTGTTAACCAAGTTTGTTTTGTTTTAATGTCTAAATAATAATCTTTATTAACTGATTATTTATCTGAGTTTTCTATTTGGAAAAAGAAATAGTCTAAGATTAAGTTGCTCAACTTTGTGGATTGGTTGAAGTTAGACATTAACACCATAGGATGCCGGCTTAGTTGTCTAGTGGTTAAGCTCTCTGGTGCGAGATTGGTAGATCCTTGGTTCGTATCTCGCGAGGCGGGATCGAGGATGCGTACTGACGAGAAGTCCCATAATAAGACAAAACGGCCTTAAAGTAGTGCTTCCAGGTTTTTCAAGGTGTTCTAACTTTAATTGACTCATGATTTCAACTATGAAAAATACTGAAATCTCCACAAAACTCCTTTTGATTAAGATTAAGTTGTACATGTTTATTATTTTTTGATAAAGAAATGGATGGCAGATATATTTGAGATATTTTATAGGAATATAGTTACTTCTTACTGTTATTGATGATGACATTTGTGAAGTAGACATTTTGAAGGTCATCTATGAGTTGGGATGATGTTCTATTATATGATAATTTATTACTAACTCATTTACTGATTAAATGTTAATTTACTCAGCTATGAAACTCAATATTTGTATGGGGTACAGTAATACTACACTGTTACTTAAATCAAATTAGAAGGACTTGAACATGAAACTTAATATCTGAAAGCCAAATCTTTTAACCATTTAGCCACTACTCCACGGATTTCTGCTTAGGTTAATGGGATATTTACGTTAAGTAAGAAGATTGTTCAAATTAACAATTTCCAGCTTTTCCTGATTTTCTTCTTGAAATGATCTACTTGTCGGTCAATTTCTTTTTTATTCTATTTGAATGCTTGATTATGTGACGTAAAAAGATTGTTTGAAAATAATATCGATAAAATTCATTATAGAATCGAACCTGTTTTCTTCAAAATGTAAAAAGCAAAGAAAGCTGTAGTAATTAACGCTTTACATTTTGATCAAGCCCAAAAACAAACTTCTCACTTAATAATAGACTTACATTAAGTCACAAAACGTCAGAAATACAATTTGGGTTGGTTGAAATTAGACGATAACGTCATTGGATTTCGGATCAGTGGTTGACATGTTATACTTTTGCACTTGAAACTGAAGGTCCTCAGTTCGAGTCCTGCGTGGAGGGTCGTGGGTACCCACTGCTCTGGAGTCCAGTACTAGGACAAAACGGTCATTCCGGGCTCCCAGGTTTTCAATGTTAGACTAGCTTAAATCAACTCAAAAATTTAACTATTAAGATTTTCTACACATTGGGATATCATAAAACTATAATAATCATTAGCTTTCCACCCGATGTTCAGTTTATTTAAAATGATCAGGTCCAGCCTTAGCATTGATACATACAAACGTTTCACTTGATATAATCCCACGTAGTTATACTGTAAATATACTCCTAAAATACTAACTTCCACTTAAATTTATAAAGTGAAAATAGACCGTTAAAGCTAATTAAAATAAAGCTTCTAGAAGTATATTGTATTATACTATTCTCATTTATTCACTATAGACAAATAAAAGATATCCGCTTGTGTAAGGGATACCCTGATTACTTTATATTGTCATAGTTGAAATCATGGGTCAATTGAAGCTAGAACACCATCGAAAACCTAGAAGCACTGGACGGCCGTTTTGTCCTATTGTGGGACTCCGAAGCAGTGCGCATCCACGATTCCGCACTCGCAATATTCGAATCCAAGACCTACCAGTCTCGCGCTGGAGCACTTAACCGATTAACCAATGAGCCGGCCATCCAGTGCTTCCAGGTTTTCCATGGTGGTCTAGCTTCAATTGACTGATGATTTCAACTATGAAAATACTAAATTCTCCACAAAACCCCTTTCTGATCTACGTCTGTCGTGAGATAGGAACTCACTGATGACAATTGGTGAATGGTTGCTCAACTTCGTGGATCAGTTGAAGTTAGACATTAACACCGTTGGATGCCAACTCAGTGGTCTATCGGTTAAGGGCTTCGGCTCGAGACTGGTAGGTCCTGGGTTCGAATCTCGCGAGAGCGGGTTCGTGGATGCCCACTGCTGAGGAGTCCCATAATAGGACGAAACGGCCGTTCAGTGTTTCCAGATTTTCCATGGTGGTCTAGCTTCAATTGACTCATGCTTTCAACTATGAAACATACTTTATATTTGTTTAAATCAAGTGATGTGACATTAATTTACTGCTTTAGTGTTTACACAATAAACAACAAACAAAGTGGACAAATCAATGTCATAATAAGAATAAATACATTCAAGTTATAGTCATGACACTCCTGATATCATATGTCTGGTAAGAACTAATGCATCATCGAAAACGCTAATCATAAATGTAAAACATAGTAGAAATGTGAAGTGAGTACTTTATTTCTATTAAACCTATTTGAAATTTAGTTGTGTTGAAGTGGATGCTACTCATAAAGATGTTTGTAAGTAGTGTACAGCGAAATAAGGTGTCGAAATCGCAACCATTGTCGGACAGAATGAAGAGTTTCAGTACATCGAAAGCACGATATTGGGTGAACGCTTAAAAGTCAGTCGAAAAGACCGTTCGGATTGCAGAACACACCAGAAGATTTAAATGAACGATTAAAGACCATGTATATGTATTATGAAAATACTTTATAACATCTCGCAATGAATTTACATATCTCCTTCCTATTGTCTTGAATTACAACCCTACCCTTATTTATCGTTAAGTTATTAAAGTGCAAGACACTTGGTTACCACTTGAATAGTGGTTAAAAGCCAGTCTGAATTTTATCGTATAAATCGCTCAATAGAAGCAACACAAATCCTTCTACATAAATAATTCATTTCCTTGAAAATAATATTCATCAGCAGTTAACATGATCTAAATATTCATGAATACCAAAAATTAAGTGTCAACTTCCTTGTTCCATTTTTTGCTATGTATCCAACCAAAATCCTCGCAACTGTCCTGAAAATTTTCGATTTATATGGAAACCCTAAAAGATGTTAACCTCCTCTCATTATTCTGTTATTTGTATTTCTAAACTTCAGAAGGGGTTTTCTGGAGAATTTAGTATTTTCATAGTTGAAATCATCAGTCAATTAAAGATAGACCACCATGGAAAACCTGGAAGCACTGGATGGACCTTTCGTCCTATTATGGGACTCCTCAGCAGTGCGCATCCACTATCCCGCACTTGCGAGATTCGAACCCAGGACCTACCAGTCTCGCACTGGAGCACTTAACCGATAGACCACTTAGCGGGCACTCAACGGTGTTAATTTCTATCTTCAACCAATCCACGATTTTGAGCAACCGTTTTTGTTATTTGTAGGATGACTCGATCATAATCGAATGTTTGCATTAAGAAATTCAGCCATATGCTTAACGATCTACCGCCTTTGCTTCTTAATTGTATAATAATGAATACAGTATAGTTTAAGCTTTATGAAATGATACTTCACTACTATTTTTTTTCAGTCTGTCAGGTATTTATCAAATCTGGTCAATATGATCCACAAACAGGTGAAATATATTCATCTAATTGTACAGCAAATCCAACAATTACAATCTGTAATAGATATCGATCAACTCAACCTATATTACTTAGATCAGCATATATATGTACATTGAGTCCAAATGATGAAAATGTGCAAGTTATGCAAGGTAATGAATCAAATGAATCTAGTACAACAAATATTACACAATTGGGACCATTTTATCCAGGGAGTATTGATTATTTTGAAGTGAGTTTAGTCTTTAGTAGAGTTAAAGTGACGAGTAAATAATATGACTCAGTGGTTCTAATTGTATTATCTTCTTACCTATTAATCCGTTGGGTACTTTTAATTATTAACTAATATATTATCTTCAGAAGGGGATTTGTGGAGATTTCAGTATTTTTCAAAGTTGAAATCATGAGTCAGTTGAAGCTAGACCACCATCGAAAACCTGGAAGCACTGAACGGCCGTTTCGTCCTATTATGGGACGCCTAAGCAGTGCGCATCCACGAACCCGTTGGATGCCAGCTCAGTGGTCTATCGGATAAGGGCTTCGGCTTGAGACTGGTAGGTCCTAGGTTCGAATCTGGCGAGTGCGGGTAAGTGGATTCGCACTGATGAGGAGTCCCATAATAGGACGAAACGGCTGTCCAGTGCTTCCAGGTTTTCGATGGTGATCTAGCTTCAATTGACTCATTATTTCAACTTTGAATAATATATTATCTACCATATACTTTGTAACGGCAAAGAGTTCTAAGAACTGTATTGATTTGCTCTAATATGAATGCGTTTCATCTCTCAAAAAATGGTGTCAATAAAGAATCATTATAGCTAACATTTTTGAAAAAATTACCAGTATTATGCTGTAATCTAGTCTATTTTGTTTCTATTATCAGAAGGTTTTTTGGAGGTTCTAGTAATTTAATATCAAGTTTGATTTATAAGTCGATTGAAGCTAGACCACCATGTAAAACCTGGAAACACTGAACAAAGTTTCGTCCTAGTATGGGACTCCTCAGCATTGGGCATCCATGACCCCGCCTGCAGGATTCAAAACTATGACCTAAACGGTTTCGAGTACAAACGCGTAACCTATAGACCACTGATCCGGCATCTAATGGTGTTAATATCTAACTTTTACCAATTCACGAAGCCATGCCACAGTCGACCATTGTTTTCATCTAGTTACTATCTTACAACAAACCTGTCATCATTTGAAATCTGAAAATTCAAATTCTAAAGTGTTATCATTAGTAATTCAGCCATGCTTAATAACTGTCATTCGACCACAGTATTCATATTAATTCAAGAATTCCACTGCAATTAGCATTATTCGTACATTACTTTGTCGACTGAAACAATGCTTTATGGTTATTTTATTTGGTAGATATGTTTCTTCATTGACTAACACTAGCTGAAACATAGTGAAGTGGTTCTCTGAGAATGAATGATTCTCAGTCATTTTTTTTGTTAACGTCACTTTATGAATAAAAATCCTCACATAGAAACTGAAATTCTGCCTAATTCTTTCTTCTTTTTAGATACCTTTAAATGATTTTATGGAAATCAGTAAAATACGTATAAGTCATGATGGTTCCGGTACATATCCTGAATGGTTGCCAGAAGAAATATACCTAAGGCTAACACAAAATCTCCCTAGTATGACCGTAAATCCACTCAAATTTAACACACGAAATTCTTCCTATTTAACTAGACTATTAAATACTGATGAAGAAAGTAATTTATCATCAGGATCTATATCAACATATGAAATTTCTTTTCCATGTATGAAATGGTTATCACGTTTTAAAGGTGATGGTAGTTTAGTACGTGAAATTGCTGCACCTGGAACTCAACTACCTGATCAAGCACCAAGACTTGGACGAATATTAAAAGTATATCCACTAGATATTACAACATTATTTCAACAAGAGGAAAGAGCTCCTGGTAAGTTGAATTGTATGACTAAAAATGTTAGGCGATACTACCCATGGTACTGGGATTTTTGTCATCGATTTCGAATGGTTGGTAAATAATGAGTCGGCTTCCGGAGAACTTCAACGGAGCCTCCAGAGGCCCAAAAGGGGCCGAAGAGCCTTAGCCAATTAGAGTATGATGGAACATTCTAGAATTCCAAAGTGGCGTGCTACTATTGGTCGGTAGCATAATAATGGATTGGCTGAAATATGATGTTGATTTAATATACGCTAACATCTATAAATACCCATGATTTTCAGTACAAGAACGAACCTTAGAGTAAAGTGTTTTCTCTCATACTTGCGTTTTCTCTCTGGTGTTCAAGTCGCTGAGTAGTTCTAGCCTGTGGGTTATCAGAATAGCTTAGGAAACGAATATAGCGTTCAATTGACAAGACATATCAGTAAACAAGAGGAACTGTGAAATAAATTACTTTTCTATCTAGAACAAGTGAATAGGTCTTATTATTTTTGACTTCACGTCATACTATTTTTTTTCAAATAAGTAGCTAGTTTTGTATTGTTAGTTACATCTACTCAATGGTCGTACTAACAAACGTCTTTTTTCTCTTTATATGTTGATCTATTGATTCTAGCTTCCTTGAGGTTTTAGGATTACTTTTCAATTTAGCTTTGGACCATATTTTTAATACACTGCTTAATAACCGATCGGCTTATTCTTCAGTTGGTGTGTATTTCATACAATAACTGATATTTCATTTACTGTTGTTCTTTTGATACATTCAGTCTTACTTCCATTATGCTTAAGACAGTGTAATCAGAATTCGTTCCCATAAAATCAAAATAAAACAAGGATGGAGAGTGTTTAAGGGGTAGTGAATAGAAGGAATATCTCACCAATGAAAATAAAACATCTGCCCATAGATTTTCCCAGACGCATAAGGTTATATAGATAAACATAGCAGCTTTCTATAATCTTTTTCATCTACTATAATCGGATAACTTGTTAACTGTAAAACAATAAAATCTGTTGCTTCAATCCTTAAAACATACAATACCCTTTAAATATAGTGAGTTATATTCCAATTAGAGGTGATCAATGATTATCATTATGTTATAGATAAACAGTAATTCTGTACACTCTGTATTGTAGTCATCATTTCGTGATTCATAAGTGTAAAAGCATACTTTATTTATTCAAAGCCAACTAGTTTAACATTTTAAATTTCCAAAACATATGGATTTTTTTAATTAAGAATTATTAGCCAACAAATAGTTTACTATCCGAAAAGGAGTTTTGTTGAGACTACTAATTTAATAGTTGAATTCATGAGTCAGTTAAAGCTGGACCACCATTGAAAACCTGGTAACATTGTACGACCGTTTCATCCTAGTATTGGACTGCTGAGCAGTGCGCATCCATAATCCCACCAGCTGGACTTGAACCCAAGACCTTCAGTCTCAAGCTCGAACACTTGGCCGGTAGACTACCGATTTGGCATCCGATGGTGTTAATGTCTAACTTCAATCAATCCATGAAACTGTGACACCGTCCACCACTGTCTTCATGGAGTTACTATCTCACAATAGTGGTCTGGCTTTAATTAACTGATTTTCACTGTCAATCCTTAACATTTTCTTGTCCTTCTCGTTTTTCTTATCAGTAATTCAATATCAAATAATAACAAAAACTGGTAAACTTTGGAATTCAGGAATGAATAATACAACAAAAGTAAATATCTTAATACAAGGTGATCATGGTGATACAGGTACAAGAATTTTATGGAATGAAGAAATATCTAAAATGAATGCATTTTCAAGAGGGAAAGTATGTAATCAATGTAATGAACATTATTATTTGTATCATATATAACAGTCTATTTTTTAAAAATTTTATATTAATGAAGCAGTCTCTGAATCAATAGGCCTCAACATACACAAGGAAAAAAGCAAGATTCTTAAAAACAACACGGAGAACGTCAACTCAATCACACTTGATGGAGAAACTCTGGAACAGGTGGAATTTTTCACGTACCTGAGAAGCCTCATCGATGAACAAGGAGGATCTGATGCCGATGTAAAGGCGAGGATTGGCAAAGTAAGGGCCGCATTTCTACAGTTGAAGAACATATGGAACTCAAAACAATTGCCTCTCAACCAGCATCAAACTCACAATCTTCAATACGAGCGTCGACACAGTTCTACTGTATGGAGATGAAACTTCAAGAACTACCACAAACATCATGAAAAACGCACAAGTATTTATAAACAGTTGTTTACACAAGATACTCGATATCTGTTGACCGGATACCATCAGCAACAACCTATTGTGGAGAAAATGAACCAGCTTCCAGCTGAAGAGGAAATTAGGAAAACACGATGCAAGTGGATAGAACATACATTACGGAAATCACCAAACTGCATCACCAGGCAAACCCTAACTTGGAAATGGAAAAGAGGAAGGTCGAAGAACACATGGAAAGGATGAATAGGAACTGGAAAGGCTTGACCAGGACGGACATGGGTGGAGAATGCTGGTGCCTGGCCTACGCTCCTCTACGAGGATTAACAGATGTCTTGAGTTCCATATGTTTTTCAATCGTAGGAATGCAACGTTGTCATCCGGCCATTCGATGAATAGTGCGTTAATAATATTAACAAGTTACATCTTAAGTATATATTAGGCAGCAAGCTTTTATGGGAATTATCGGTTTAAATCTTGGTAAAAATAAATTTGATCATAAAAATTAAATTATTATAAACTGAGTTTCACTTTCCTGGGTGATTTCTAATAGCTTAATGAAATACCTGGGAATTAGATGAAATAATCATCTAACTAATTACAGATGACCAACCAATGTCGTATTCACTATGAAATCAGAAAATCTTTCATTTGATACTTTGTCTATCCTTAGATGTGCATCGCTGAAACATTGTACACTATGATGAAATACTTATCTAATGGTCATACGTTTTTAGTGGTTATAAGGCCAATCTCAGATTGCAAGGTATACTATGTTCATATTTTTACTAAGTAACACTTTTATAATGTTTTTATAAGAAATCAGTTTTTGAGATGGTGGAGAAGATTTGTAGCTCATATGGATGATTTTGTTCTGTAAGTTGGATGGTTTGGTCATGGAGCTTTCATCGTTCTTTTGAACGTCATCATCAGAACAAACTTCGTGTAGAAGTGAAGTGTTCGGATTTCTCCACATATGACTCCTCATTTGTACATCAATGCACCAAATAGTGTACTAAATTCATAATCAAAGGTCTAAATAATATTATGGAATATAACTGTGTTGTTAATCAGGTTTAAAATCTGTGGATCAGTTCATTTCGAAGATAGATTTCATGAATTCATGATCTAAATAACAAAGATGTATAGCACCAAAAAACATTGGAAATCAATGTATAATCTTAGTCATACAAATGGTAATGACTTCACTGTAGAAGCCAAATTGGTGGCCTGATTGAATATCTAGGCTACCTGTTTCTACCATCTCGATATTTCAACAAGTTATCGGTTCTTGCTTATTTTTACACATCATTATATTTATTAATCACACAACTTATTAAGGTGCGTTTATGAAATGTTTACAACTTTCCGCTGTACAAGTTGTGAAAAAGAGCTTGATCAGAGACATGTGGTTGCTGGTAATATGCAGCAAAAGAAATGTACATTATTCATATGTCGATTGGCTGGGCTGCTAACTTTTAGTTGTTGGTCACTCAATATTTATCGTCAGGAAGGACGAAGAAGTAAGAAACGGAAACGTGTTGAAGTACTTTGTGCTGAGAGTTCCATGTTGTACCGAAAATATAATACTAAATGAATCTAGTAATGATGATAACATTTCATGAAAATAGAAGTTTGAATATAAAATCCTGAAAAAAAATTGTGAATGTGACCTTTTGAACGGACGTCTTGGGCTCAGTAAAACGTAATTCACCTATTAGTTCAGATCATACTTATTATGATCCTGACAGTCCACTTAGTTACGTCAGTTATTTTTACAAATAAATGTTATTCAGATAGTAAAGAAGATATTTGATGGGGTTTTCTTTCTCTGAGATGGATGGTTTGGTCATGGAACTTTCATTGTTCTTCTGGACGACATCATCAGCACAAACTTCAGGTAGAAGCGAAATGTTCGAATTTCTCCACAAATGACTCCCAGCTTGTATTATAGACCTCGATGTTGATTGGTTTTTGTTGACCATAAACCTGTCACTGTTTACATCTTTGTTATGATTGTATCTTTCATTAGTTTGATTTATGGTTCTTGTTATATCGTATAAGTGCGTGCCCTATTTGTTATATGAACGTGCTAATTCCCGCCAAAGAGAGAAGAGCGAATTATCGATCGGAGCTATGATACATAAAATCGTACGAGCAGTCTTGAGTACTATTCGGTCCTGCTATTTGCCTAGCCCAACCAGTTAAGTCCAGAACATCAATAATAGCCTCGGCGATATGAATCATTATTCACAAACATACTGGGTTTATATACCAACCAAACAGACCACATCGTACCATAAAATATAAAATAACATTTGTACAATAATTGGCCAAATGTGGCTGTGAATATGGGGGAAAGTAATCAATAAACTGATGATAACTCAAAAATCGTATAATAATAGATCAAAGGTCCAAATAAAGCCAATGATACAACAATTATACAATAGGAAATATACATATTACATTGGTCCATAAATAGTCCTCGAATGTTATCATTCATAATTCACCAAGGGATATAACACCTCCCCTTTTTGAGAAATCCGGAGTTGATATCAGGATTTTAAATTTCTCGAATTCATCCTCTCCCACGAAAGAGTGTTGGATCCTCATATACCCAAGTTACTATTAAAGTGACATTATATAAAACATGTTTGTCACATTTAACAGAGAATCCATTAGAACTGACTATATCATGAGAATCGACGACATTCGATTTGAGGTCACCAGTGTTTGATTCTTCTGAAACAGTTTTCTTGAATTTATTCGGAACCTCATTAGTAGATAATGAATCCTTGGGATAATCAGTGTCTATGAAAAATATATTGGATTCTTGATTATCATTTTATGCATCCGACAATTTTCTCCCATTTTTATAAGAGATTTCAACAGGAACATGTGAGTTATCAAAATAATCAAAATCTGGCAGAACAATTAGAGAATCTTGATCATTAGATTCATTAGAAATTTTTTTGCATCAAGACTAGTTTCATTTGGCGCAACTGTATTCACTATACTGCTCGATTTGTTTCCCGTTTCTTTGTGGGAGGGTACTGCAGAAATTTCATGAGCATTTAGCAAGATACTGTCTTTCTGTGAACAGGATAATCCACTGTTTACACGTCCTTACTGCTACTGCTGTCCAGAAAAACGATAAAAGGCTCCAAGACTAAACTATCCATCTCAAAGAACAAAACACCATCTGAGCTACAAATCTTCTACACCATCCCAATATATCTTTATTCCTAAATTTCTATGATCAGTTTCAGGATTTCTTCTAGATTTAATCGAATTTAATTATTTCTATATTCTTCTCTTTATTTTAGACTAGTTCATTCAATATTGAAGCTGTATTTCTTGGTCGATTAAAATCATTAACTATATGGTTAGAATCAGATGAGAATAGTAATGAGACAAATGCTTTAACTACTACTAATAATAATAATAGTAGTAATAGTAGTAGTAGTTGGTACTTAGAATATGTAATTATTCAACAACTGTCAATGAATTCTTCTACGAATAACTTCTCAAATATCTTCAATACATTATCTTCATCTCAATCTCATCTATCCTCTCAATCATTTTCTAACAATCTATGTAATGATATGAATGCAATTTATATATTTCCTTGTTTTCAATGGTTAACAACAAGGTATGGTATGAATTCTTTACCAATTAAATTAATACCAGCTAATGGTAATGGAATACTGACAATGAATTTAATTGAAACAATTATGGCACAACAAAATGAGCAAATATTTGTAAGAATATATAAAAATATGAAAAAAAAGGTTTTGAGTTGTTTGTTTTAATCTAACTTCACATTGATATTTGTAACAAGTTTGTATTATTTGGACAACTATTGAAAACCTGGGTGCACTGAACAGCCGTTTCCTCCTAGTATGGGACTCTTGAGCAATGTGCACCCACAATCTCGCTCACTAGATTCGAATCCAGGACCTCAGATCTATCACGAACGTCTAAACTATAGACTACTGAGTTGACATCCAATACTGTTAATGTCTAACTTCAACCATTGTGTTCAATGAGTTAGAACCGACAGCTCCTTTGTTCAAATCCCACGAGCGGGATCGTGGATGCGCACTGCTGAGGAGTTCCGTGTCAGGACGAAACTTGACTTGGAACTATGTTTAAAGTTTTCCTTCACAGCTTTATGAATAATATTCTAATTTCATTTAGTATTGTTTGTTTGAATCTTTTCATTGATGTTTAGGTTTGCAATAGATCAGTCACATATTGGCATATATGCATCCTGTGGGTATTGCCTCGATATAGAGACTTATCAATCGCAGTCCTAAACATTAATGAGAAGATTCAAACAAACAATACTAAATGAATTTAAACTTCACCCCATTGCACAAGCAAGTGGCTATCAGTACTCAGTAGCTGAGTGGATAATGCGATGGCGTTTGAAGCGAACGGTACTGTGTTCGAGTTCAAGAGGGAATACCAACTCTGAGATGTAGGTACATCGAGTCCCAAATAAGACGTAACCCTCGTCAAACTGGATTCCACTGTTATCCACCATTCATCTTTGCTTATAATATTCTAATTGTCTAATTTGCTTTCAAACTTATTGACTGGCATTTTAATTAAAAGTTGGTATGAACAAAATAGATTGAAATATTATCAGGTAAATCATTACAGTCTAGACTATTCTGAAAGGTTGATGTTATTTTGACAGTTCTAATCTTCCCACAATCTTTGTAAATATCTAGATTGAATAGAAAATAATAAACAATATTTATTATGTTAAAAGATGAAATATGAAACCTTGACAATATTAATATGAAAACATTCACACTAAACTAGTATATTAAACATTTGAAAACAATTTTGAACACAGTAAGCAAAGATGGATAGTGGTTAGCAGTGGAATCCAGTTTGACTCGCGTTTTGTCCTATTTCGGACTCGTCAGCTGGATGTACCTGCATCTCAGAGTTGATGTTCACTCTGGGACTCAAACTCAGCACCTTTCACTTCAAACGCCATCGCGTTATCCACTCGGCCACTGAGTTCCGACGAGTCCCAAATAGGACGAAACGCGCATAAAACTTGATTCCACTGCTAACCACTATCCATCTTTGCCTAAAATGTTTGTGAATTAAGGCTATATCGAGGCAATACGCACAGTACGCACATATGCCAATTAGAGACTGACCAGTTGCAGTTATAACAAATAGATGGGAAGATTCAAACAAACAATACTAAATGAATTTAATTTCGTACACATTTTTCTGATGTATCAGTGAATGGCGTCTGAAATAATGTAAACGTCATCAAGTACTTATTTAGATTTGTGAATATTTGGTATTGTTCAAACATCATTCTTTTCATAAGGCAATGAATAACTGTCTTAATTACATTTTGATGAACCAAAAGCTTTCAAATCTCTTGGTGAAGAATACACTTTTCAACGTCTGCATTGATATCGAATATTATCAAAAGGAGTTTTTGTGGAGATTTCAGTAATTTCATAGTTGAAATCGTGAGTCATTTGAAGCTAGACCATCATGGAAACCTCCACAAAAACCTCTTCTGATAATAATCATATGCTTACAAGTGACTGACTTCAAGAGATAGTTCCTGGAGTTTTAGTGAGAAGCAGTGACAAGTGAAGTTCAACCAAGTCTATTGTGAGATATCAAGTCACTGAAGACAATAGTGAACAGTTGCTCAATTCCGTGGAATGGTTCAAGTTAGGCATTAATACCGTTGGATGCCGGGCTCAGATGTCTAGTGGTTAGGCGCTCGCGCGTGACACCGATAGGTCCTGGGTTCGAATCTCGCGAGGCGGGATCGTAGATGCACACTGCTGAGGAGTTCTCACAATAGGATGAAACGGCCGTTCAGTGCTTCCAGGTTTTCCATGGTGGTCTAGCTTCAATTGACTCATGATTTCAACTATGATATCGAATAGTCAGAGTTTTCAAACTTTTTAAAAACAAATCTCCTCCATTTTCCCTGATTGGGAAATAGATTCATTTTTTCTAAAATTTACTCCATAGATCATGGCTTTTCACCATAACTCTATGAAATCAATCTCTGAGGTAGTTAGTAGTGAATATTTTATGTAATAAATGAAAATTTGCCCAACTAAAAAGTACTTTACAACATGTAATCTTATTGAACAAACATTTCATTATGAATCTCACATAATGAAACATTGTGTTTATGATTATATCTAGGTCATGTGCTCACAATAGACACATTCTAATAAAGACTGAATAAACTTTAATCTTAGATATTAACAATAGGTTAACTCTAACTCATATTATAGTGAATAGAACACCGGTTGGGGACAACCGAATGTATTTAAGCACAAAATACAGACTATCTCACTAAATTCTGATAATCATACAGCAAACAGTTAATTTGTATAATAACAATCAATTGTCTCAATCTTCACTGTTTCTTCTGTAAATATCAGTTCATCTTCTCTTATTCCATGGTTCATGCATTTTCCTACCAATTGCGCATCATTTCAGTTCTTTCCTTATCGGTCTTCTGCCAAAATACATTCTATGTCTGACCAACACCATATACTACTTATATGGATATAAGTAGACCACACTACATTATTAGTAATATAATAGACTGGTAACAGGACAGTTTTTATTTGGTTTCGTATGGCGTAAAAGGCTCTCAACCTTGAAAAAATAGGAAACTATAAATTCTTTCATAGTTGAATGCGTGAATCAATTGAAGCTAGACCACCAAGGAACACCTGGAAGTACTGGACGACCGTTTCGTCCTATTGTGGAACTCCTCAACTGACTCACTCTTCCAACTATGAAAATACTGAAATCTCCACAAAATCCCCTTCTGATAATATACGTTCTTTACTTGAATTCAGTTTATACATTGTTCAAAAATTATTCACCTACTCCAGCGATCATCTACTTTAATAAACTATCAAATAAGCTTTTAAATCAAATTGATTTGTTCTCTTTATTGTTTTTTTTTTGATACAGTGGCAAGTTGAAAAATGGAAATTTAAACCAGGCACTAAAATCATTTTCTATAGTTATTTAACTGGTGCACCTATGCGTATAGTCGATTCTAACCGTATTGATTGTCAACCGATTGATTCAGTGAATGGAATATCAAATCAAAGAATTGGTGAAGGTGAAAGTTATTCTTTAAACGTTTTCGGTTACATTATTGTTTTAAGGAATTTGAACCGCTTATAAACAATAGCTGACAGAGTATTGTTTAAGTTCAACAAGTACAGAGGGTTCAATTTCATATTTTCTTTTATATAAAAGACAAAACGCACATACAAGTTGATGATGGCATCTCTGGAGACATAGGATTATTTAACTCATAAGAAATACTTGAAGCCTCCTACTAACTAGAAACATACTACAATACTCGACTAGCAATGTTATTTCTAAATTCTACTATAATTCCCTTATTATGGATAAAAGGTTTATCGTTAAGTAACTTCTAAACAAACCCACCATTAGAAGTTGAAATGGTTTTCACCCCAACCCCTTTAAATTTTCTGGAGTTCTAGTGAGAATCCGTGACTAGTGGAGTTCGATCCGTGTCGGGTATGAGATAGTTATCCACCTCAAACAATCGATAAAAGGTTGATCAAGATCATAGATCGATTGAAGTCAGACATTGACATCGTTGAATACCAAAGAAGGGAGATCTGAGCAAATGTGAGAATTACAGAGGCATCACACTACTGTCAGTACCAGGAAATGTTTTCAACAGTATTACTGAACCGGATTAAAGACTCAGTAGACGCCCAACTTCGAGATCAACAGGTCCGATTTCGTAAGGATCGGTCGTGCACAGACCAAATTGCGAAATTACAGATCATCGTCGAACAATCAGTTGAGAGGAATTCACCACTATACATCAACTTACTTAATTACGAAGAGGTGTTTGACAGTACGGATAGAAGAATTACAAGGAAACTTCTTCAACACTACGGAGTACCTGAGAAGATTGTCAATATCACATGGAATTCATACGACAGACTACAGTGCAAGGTAATGCATGGAGAACAGCAGACAGATGCATTCCAAGTGAGATTCGGAGTCAGACAAAGCACTTTACTCTCCCCCTTTCTCCTTCTTTGGTAATTGACTGCATTATGAAGACCTCAAAATCTGAAAGAAAGCACGGAATAAAATGGACAGCTCTGAATCAATTAGAAGATTTGGACTTTGCAGATGACATGTCCGTTCTATCCCATAGACACTAACAAATGCAGTTGAAGATAACTAGTGTACAAGCAGTCTCTGAATTAGTAGGTCTCAACATACACAAGGGAAAAACCAAGACCCTCAAATACAAACGGAGAACGTCAACCCAATCACTCTTGATGGAGAAACTCTGGAACAGGTGGAATCTTTCATGTCCCTGGGAAGCCTCATCGATGAACAAGGAGGATCTGATGCCTATGTAAAGGCGAAGATTGGCAAAGCAAGGGCCACATTCCTACATTAGAAGAACATGTGGAACTCAAAACAACTGCCTCTCAACCAGGATCAAACTTACAATCTTCAATATGAGCATCAACACAGTTCTACTGCATGGAGCTGAAACTTCGAGAATTACTACAACTATCATCAAAAACACACAAGTATTTATAAACAATCCTTTACACAGGATACTCGATGTCTGTTGACTGGAAAGAACAAACGAGGTTCCATCTGAAGAGGAAATCAGGAAAAGACGATGCAGGTGGATAGGACATACATTACGGAACTTGCCAAACTGCATCACGAGGCAAGCCCTTACTTGAAGTCGGGATGGGGAATGAAAAAGAGGAAAGCCGAAGAACACAGTACGTTGGGAATTGGAAGCAGACGCGAGTAGGATAAATAGAAACTGGAAAGGATTGCTAAGGACAGAGTCGGATGGAGAATGCTGGTGGGTCGCCTATGCTCTTATACGACGGTTAAACAGACATAAGTAAGCAAGTAATGGTTGGATACGGGTTCAGTGGTTAAGGGTTCGCAAGCGAAACCGAAGGTCGTGGGTTCGAGTCTTGTGTACTGGATCGTGGATAGACACTGTCTAGGAGTCCTGTACTAGGACGTAATAGCCGTTCAGTGCTTCCAGTTTTTCAATGATGGTCTAGCTTAGATCGACTAATGAATTCAACTGTTAAAATTTCCCTAAGTAAAAACAGATGATGAAAAACAGAAATCACTTTGGGTCAGGCCATGTTTCGCTAATTGTTATTTACTATCCTTCTTTTTCTTTCAAGCATCCAACAGCCTAAATAGAAAATAATCTATATTTCACACAGCGTCTAAATGAATTTATTTAGTAATATTATTTACCTACTTACAAGTAACTTAAATTTGTGAATGACAGTTTTGGTCCAGTGATGTTCACACTCCATCTGATATTCACTTAGTTGTTCTTTCAGGTAGTTTAATTCGAAAACTTACTGATTTTCACCATTTAGTATACACATGTGAAGTATTTGCTACCAAGTAGAAAATGATTTGACTAATTTTCGAAAAGAAATATCTGCTCAAACGTTTGAGTCACCTATTTTACAACCGAGCTAATATTACAATAGGTCTTTCAGATTCAGAATACCAATAACAACCTCTGCAGTATGAATCATTATTTTCAAACATACTGGGTTTATATACCAAACAAACTGACCACATCGTACCATAAAATAGAAAATAACATTTGTACAAGATTTGGCTAAATGTGACTGTGAATAGAGGGGGGGCAGTAATCAATAGACTGGGGATAAATTAATAACGGCAAATCACATGATAATAATCTATAGATCAAAATAAAGCTTATAATAAGGGGGACACAAATATAAATAGTTTAGTTATTTAACAATTATACAATAGGAAATATACATATCACATTGGTCTTTAAATAGTCCTCAAAGTTACTATGCATAATTCTCCACGGGATACACCAATTATAAATAATGGAAAATTTAAAAGTAACATGATAGTTTAAATTCAACTTAATATTGTTTGTTTGAATCTTCCCATCGATTTGTTAGGACTGCAAATAGGACGAAACGCGCTTCATGGATTCCACTGTTAGCCACTATCCATCTCTGCTAACATGATAGTTGTTAGTAAATATTGCTCTCTAAATGTACTTTAATAAAAACAAACGATATTCATGTTAGAACTCATGTATTCAATGATATGATAGATAAAGAAGATATTTGTGATAACTGAATTGGTACAGAGTTTTTTGTGACTGGTGTGATTTTTATTTTATTTATTTTTTTGAACACATAAATATTGGTACAAAAATGCACCAGATATATATGCGCCGCACAAATCTCATTCGATTTGTGTAAGGGCTGTGATACTGCCCAGGTGCCCAAACCAAAACAGATGGTTTAGTTAGGGGGCCACAGCCGTAGCCTTTGACATAAAGGTCTGATCCACAAGGCAGTGGAGCATCGTGAGGAGTTGCAGTCCAATGGTAGCCAGTGACCAACAATTGATTCATACGCCATTTGTTTACTCAGGATACTGGAGCTAGCCCATGTGCACCATTGGTTTGGAACCAAGGGTTTCCAACCCCCCCTAGGTAGACACGCCGTATCCACTAACCCAGTTAAAGCGCCAGACATTCGCTTTTCGTCCTCTCGATTTCGTAAACAACACCCCTGCCACGAGAATGCAATGAGTAGGACTTCCCTGTCAAAGGCTATATACGCGTGACCATGTGAGAGGGAGAGCGGACTCTCCCCACTTTCGGCCGTACCAGGGCATTTGGGGGCGAATCATGGTTTGATGTTTCTTGGTAATTCGACTAAGGGATCTATGTGGAGATAAACTTCAATGACGAAAATATATAATTCTGAACTTCTACAATATGTGCGACTGTAAACCTGAAATAATAGCTCACATACCTAGCGTTATTAAATGATATTAAATCTATTCAATGATGGCTAGTGATCTCTTTTAAATTTATTTCTTTTTTCTCAATAATAGTTTTTAACGTCTCTTATGGATTAACGAGTTCACGATGTTCAAAAATATCACGACTATCTCTGCGGCAACGATTTGGTTCAGGAGATTTATTAGATAAACGACCTATATCTAATCAAGATATAGAATATTATAATAAATTAAATGATAATTTGAAATCAACTACTAATGTGAATAATCGTAATAAAAGTACAAAATGTATTCGTTCATTTTCAAGTGCACAAAATCCATGGCTTTCAATGTGTTTAGATGAAATAGCTGGTCTCAATTTAAAAAGTAAGTCGTATAACATCTTTTTTCCCTTTATAAGCAAAGATGGATAATGGCTAGCGGTAGAATCCAGTTTGACAAGCGTTTCGTTCTATTTGGGACTAGTCAGCTGGATTTACCTGTATCTCAGAGTTGATGTTCACTCTAGGAACCGAACCCAGTACTGTTCGCTTCAAACTCCATCGCGTTATCCACTCAACTACTGAGTTCTGATAGCTATCTGCTTGTGCAATGCAGTCACATCCATCCGACAAGTCCCAAATGGGTCCTGGATCCCACTGCTAGCCACTATCCATCTTCGCTTATAAAGCTTGTGAATTCAGGCAATATCGAGGCGGTCTGCTTTCACTCTATTTCAAATGAACTTTACAGATCGTTTTTGTTATAGATCAACCTGTTGTTACATTTAAACTTCTACTAGATTGTATCTGGTTTTGAGGTTAATAGTTTCTCAGAATTGCAAAGATAAGCATTTCTATTAGAATCTGAAAGGAAAGACCAATCGAAAATATTGGCAAACAACTCAGTATGAACGAAGAATCCATTTACATTTAAGAATTAGAACATTCTACAATTGGTAATGCATAAACCCTCAGCCATATCACGGTATTTCGGGGGCTAGTTTAGATATCAGCAATGAAAAATATAAAATCCATCATATAATGTAATCTTAAGCTACATTCGAAGTGAATAAACTCAGTGATATATCACAAATATTCACGTTTCATTGACATCTGATTCTAAAGACAATAAATAAATATTACTGCAGTTAAGTTGGTCGTAGTATACAAATTCTTCGCTGATGTTATTATTTCAAGATATATCAATATAACTATTTAAAATCAAAAAGAATGGACGACAATCTTATTCTAGTTTGGAACTCCATAGTATTGTGTGCTCAAGTGTTCCAGAGTGAATATCAACTCTAGGATGCAAGCACATCCAGCTGACGAGTCCAAAATAAAACGAAACGTGCATCCTGGATTCCAGTGCTAGCCGTCATTCATCTCTGTTTATAATGAGTGAAGTTAGTGTTTTTTACACTTAGTAACACCAAACGTTTTTTTCCGTAAAATGACATTTCAATTGATTACATTCAAACAATTGAATTTTCAAATCCTTTATTTCATTTCATTAGTTAGTTCTAATTTAGATTCACAATGTTTCAACTTTAAAATCCGTCCTCAATCAGAACGTCTCATTGCACTTGAAATAAACAAAAAGAATTCATTACAATCTAGAAAGATCCATGTTTACGTTGGACCAGATGGTCGTGTTGTCAGCGGGGCAACAGGTCCTATAACAATTCCTGGAAAATTATTTCTACCGTATGTAAAAGTAAGTCTTAGTTTATTTTTATTTTTCCTGTATACCTAACTATAACATTACGATTTATGATATGTTTTGCGTCAGATAATTAATTAATTAATTTGAACATATAAATACTTGTACGAAAGTACATTGAATACATATGCACCATACAAGTCAGTTGATTTGTGTGGACTGCGATACTGCCCGGGTGCCCAAACCGAAGCAGGTGATCTTCCAAAGGGGACCACACCTGGAGACTTTGACCTAAAAGTCTAATCCACAAAGTAATGGAGCAACGTAAGGAGATATTGTTTCATGGTAGTCTCCATTTGTTCCCTCAGGCTCCTAGAGCATCATAAATTGTTTTGCATTATTCGTGAAGAGTTTTTAATTATAAACATGAATCATCAAAAAACTCAAATAAAATCGGAAAATCTAACATAATATATAATAATGAGTTGCCTTGGAGACTGTTTGCTTTGAATTTTGACAACACTGAATGACTTCGGTTAAGTAACCGTTGAAAACTTGAAATTCGTTTCATCTTAGAACGTAAATCCTCAGGAATACACATCCATGACCCAATCAGAGATCAAATACAAGACATTCAAATATCACGAAGAGCGCAGAACCCCTAAATTACTGGGATGTTTTAAAGTTCCCTACATTTCTAACTTCTGTCAATCGACCATTTTGCTCAACTATCAATTGTATTTTGTTTCGTTCACAACGTGATTGAACTCCATTGATCGAAGCATCCCATTAGAAATTTGGGAACTACGGCTGATATATGTTGATAAAAATGATGGGTGCTTAAAGCAGGTTTTTAGTTCTGTTTGGTTTCTGTCATTTATTTAGGTATAACAGAAATGCACATAGGTTTTCGTAAGGTTTCTACAATATTATTATTACAAACTATATACTGCCCTTAGTTGATCTTCATCATCGAAGGAAAATAATTTAACGAGTTATTAATGTAGCGTATGAAGATAAGATCTAATGATAGCAGTAAAATCAAGATCTGATCAACATTCATCAATAGACTATTATGCTATTAACACAGATGTCTTCTGTTGTTTAAATTCTTATGAGACACTTCTTTCAATCTTTAACAAATAACCAGGTATTAATAACAAAGGGTAGTCTAATTACTGACCGATTATTACCTCAAAATGTTTCCCATATATCCATCATCCGCTCATTGTCAAAATTTCAACAACAACAAAAAATTGGCTAGTTTTAGATCACAACACTTATGACAACTTCCTTAACCTGAAATCTCTTATCATTAGGAATTTATAAATTTTTATTAAGTGATTTTAGAAATATAATCCCATTTTATAATCAATTTTGTGGAATTGGTTTTTTTTTTTTGGTATACAATTTAAAAAGATGGGAAATGTCACCAAATACAACAAATTCATGATATTCTGTATAACTTTGTTCTTCTTATGTACCTATGATTAGCCAATTGACACTAGTTAGTTAGGCAATTGAATGGAATCATCAAAAAGCCTTTAAACCTAGATTTCGTGACAATCAGCATTCAGCTAAGGCCTTGGCCCTATGGCAATTTCTTCTGATTAACTAACATGATCCTAAGTCATATATATATATATAAGCCCGTTACCCCTCGTGGAGGAGCATAGACCGCCCACCAGCATCCTCCATCCAACTCTGTCTTGGGCAAGCCTTTCCAGTTGTTTCCAGTTAACATTTATCCTTTACATATCTGCTTCTATTTCCTGGCGTAATGTGTTGTTTGGCCTTCCTGTTTTCCATTTCCCTTCACGAGTCCAAGTTACAGTTCGCCTCGTGATGCAGTTTGGTGATTTCCTTAATGTATGTCCTATCCAATTCCAATATCTTTTTTTAATCTCCTCTTTAGCTGGAAGCTGATTTGTCCTTTCCCATAGAAGGCTCCGCCTGTAACTCTTCTAGGGTTACTGCCAGTCCCAAGCCCGGGTTAAACAGGAGGGTTGAGAAAGAAGTTGACAACCCCATCCTGTAGAAAAAAATCCTGCTGAAAGACCGTCAACTAGATATACATATATCATACTTTTGACAGCTAAAAAGAAACGTCAAATGAATTCAATTCTCTAAAGATTATTTCATGAAATAGTGACTATGAATTTGAAATCTAATTTCTTAAATTAATAATCATCTTCTTGTATTTCATTATTCTTTCTTAATTAAAACAAACAGGGTTGTCTAAGAGATCAAACAATATTATGGTTATGTACAGAAATTCAACAAACATTAATACCTGTTATAATTCATGAAACTAATTCAAACAATTCTGAAGTTAAAATCAATCATTGTAAATTTGATTTACGTGCTACAGGTGAACGTACAACTGAAGCCTATTGGAGAGTTCATAAAGTAGATAAAAATATTAGACGATTTGAATCAGTTGCATGGCCAGGAAATTTTTTACGAGTTACATCCGATAGTGTAGATGTTATGGTTAGTTTTTTTTTTAATAATTTTATTAAATTATCTATGAATGTGAGATTTCCTTTTTCTTTTCATAGTTGAAATCATGAGTCAGTTGAAAATAAACGACCACGAAAAACCTGGAAGTACTGGACGGCCGTTTCGTCCTATTATGGGACTCCTTAGCAGTGCGCTTCCACGATCCCGCCTTTCGAGACGCGAGCCCAGGACCCACCAGTCTCGCCCCAGAGCACTTAACCACTAGACCACTGATCTGGCATCTAACGGTGTTATTGTCTAACTTCAATCACTCCACGATATCTGAACAACCGTTCACCAATTGTCTTCAGTGAGTTGATATTTCTACAACAGACCTGGTAGAACTCCACTTGTCACTGCTTCCCACTAGAACACAAGGATATATCTCTTGAAGTCAGTCACTAGTTACTCGGTTAAGTGCTGTGGCGCGAGACTGGTAGGTCCTAGGTTCTAATCTCACGAGTGCGGGTTCGTGGATTCGCACAGCTGAGGAGTCCCATAATAGGACGAAACGGCCATTCAGTGCTTCCAGGTTTTCCATGGTGATCTAGCTTCAATTGACTCATAATTTCAACTATCAAAATACTGAAATCTCCACAAAACCTCTTCTGATATATATTTTCTTTTGTTTGAAGTAGCTTTATTAACATAATTTAAAAACAGACTCTCAAATAGTAGATTGTAATTCAAACTAAACTAATGTATCAATGGGAAGATTCAAACAAACAATGCTAAGTGAATTTAAACTTTACTCTATTGCACAATTAAGGGGCTATCAGGACTCAGTAACTGAGTGGATAATGTGATGGAGTTTGAAGCGAAAGGTACTGAGTTCGAGTGCCATATTGAACTCCAACTCTGAGATGCTGGTACATCCAGCTGACGAGTCCCAAATAGGACGAAACGCACGTCAAACTGGATTCCACTGCTGGCCGCTATCCATCTTGGCTTATACACTGAGGTATCTGTCAAGATTACAAACTTGTTATCGATGCAAGAAACTGAGTAGATGAAGAGATATTAACTAATTTTGAAATGAGATATATACCTATAAATTACATTAGATAATAAACGATATCTATAAGAGACAGTGGGAATATTGTAATGTCCTTGATTGTGATCCTGTTTGTCATATTCTCTATGAAACCTAAACTATCTAAGTTTCATTTCGTGTGAGTATGAAGATTTTCTTGATAAGTTTTATACTAGAACAAAAGAGATTTTGGTACTTTCTAGTTCTAAACTACCTTCTTATTGATCTCAGTCTACTGGAAAACCTATTTTCTAATCACTTAATTGAAGGTTTTGTATTCTCTGGTTACTGATACTATAGACTGAACTGATTAGTAAAATATTCCCATCATGATAAGCTAAGAACACAGTTTATACAAATAAGTAAGCCTTATAAAGCAGTATGTTTGTCCATACAGTACGTTAGAAATTTATGTGTTGCTTAAAGGAATGACAAAATTGTTGAGGTTATCCAGAAAAACCCTCGAAAAAAGACAAGAAAGGCTTAGGAAACATTAAGAAGCATTTTATCCAATCAGCGTTCAGTAAACGTTTTGCCAGAAACATCACAAAATGAAAAGTCACATATAAAGTTTCTGATTGGCTGATTACTACACTGCTATTATGTTTAGTAGCACTTTCAGATAATCCAAGAACATCTAAAATACTATTAAAACCCTATACTTTTTGTACATGAATGAACCTTCGGAGTAAAGTGCTTCTCGCATATTTTGCACCTTTTCTCTTGTGTTCAAGTTGCTGTGTAGATTTAGCTCGGGAGTTACGAGAATAGCTTAGAAACCATGTATAGCGTTCAATTAGCAAGATTTATCAAAAAAGAATGAATCATTAGTAAACTATGTGAATAATGTACAAAATGAGGCTGATGGTGATGTTAATCAAAAAGTGAGAACATATATGAAGTTACTAGTCACAGTTATTGTAAGCAAATGGTAGTTGAAAGCCATGGAGGGGAAAGAGATGGAAAAAAAAAGTTTTTTGTACACAATAAACTATATCGGAAAATTTGAATGGCTATTGTGTCAGCTATGTTGAGTACGCCGAGATGCTCAAACCATGAGGACTTCATTTAAACCCTAGACATATTAGTGAATTGTAAACAATCCTATATTTTGCATTATACGTCTATTAAATGAGACGATATTAAACTTTTTGTAAGTTTGTTTATTTCTACCCTTAATCTTACTGGAAATTGTTCAAGAAAGCAACAGGAAGTTTATAAGGTCATTCTGTCTATCTTGTCGTCTTCACAGAAGCACAGTGGTTCAAATGTTCTGTATGAATATTTCTATTTGTGGCATATCTACTTCAATTATTTTCTCATCTGATTAGTAAGAAGAAATGGCTGAGTAACTCAACTCGTATTCATCCCCTAAAATGTAAATGACACTTACTTTACAATAATGGACTTACATAACTCTGTTACCTTACTAAGGATAAGTAAAAATTGGAACTTGTTCTTATTAAAAAAGAAGAAGTATTTGGTAATCGTAAGGATAAGAATATGAATAAATCATGTAGAATTACTTACTTACGTACGCTTGTTATCTTTCATGGAGGAGCATAGGCCACCCACCAACATTCTCTATCCTATCCTATCCAATTGTTTCCATTCGCTATTCATCCTTTTCATATCTGCTTTCAATTCCCGACGTAGTGTATTTTTTGGTCTTCCTCTTTTTCATTTTCTTTCAGGTATCCAATTTAGAGCTTGCCTTGTGATGGAGTTTGGTGATTTATGTAAATCATATAGAACTTTGGTATAAATCCTAACAGACTGATATTTGACTCACAATAAAAGTTAATACATAGAAGAAAATATCTTTAGACAAATAGAAGAGTTTATTAATGTATATCCAGATATGAATAAATAAGTATGAGCCTTAGAAAGAGATTATTAATAATGATAACTATAAGTATTAATAATAATAATAATAATAACTGGACGAGATACTCATTTTATGAATGCTATAATAGTGAGCAATTTTCATTTAATACATAAAATTTTGTATGATTTCCTTACTAAACTGATTTATGAGACAAACAGTACTGGGTTCGAGTCCCATAGTGAACATCAACTCTGGGATGCAGGTACATCCAGATGACGAGTTCCATATAGGACGAAACGCGCTTCAAATTGGATTCTGCTACTAGCCACCATCCATCTCTTTTTATAATGCTTGTGAATTAAGGCAATATTGAGGTAATCCGTACAGAATGTAAATATGCCAATAAGAGATTGATCAATTACAGTCGTAAACATCAATGGGAAGATTCGAACAAACAATACGAAATGAATATCAATGCCTAATGTTGTTTTGTTTTTTTTAAATCAATTTACAGGGTGGTGGTGGAATTGATTGTTACTTTCAAATTAATCGTGTTCGTTGTAAAGGTTTTCTTCAATTATCACCACTTGTGAATATTCAAAAAATTATTGGAATGAATGAAGATGGAACAATTACTTTATATGACAAATATACAATGGAAGAAAATTCACGTTTTTATCCAGAAGTTATTAAATGTACGTCAATGTATTATTTAATGGAATATGTCTTAGTAAAACAAACAATTTGGCGGTTAAATATACTTTTTTTATTACAAACCTCGTATCGAAAATCATCTTTTTCTCAGAGAAGGATAGTGGCTAACAATGGAATCCAGGATGCACGTTTCGTCCTATTCACTATCCATCTTTGCTTATAAGGCTTGTGAATTTAAGGCATTATCGAGACAATACGCATAATATGCACATATGCCAATAAGAGACTGATGAGTTTCAGTCCTAAACATCAATGGGAAGATTCAAACAAACAATACTAAGCGCATTTAAACTTCACCCTATTCCACAAGAAACTGGTTATCAGGACTCAGTGGTCGAGTGGATAACGCGAAGGTACTTGGTTCAAATCCCAGAGTTAATATCAACTCTGAGATGCAGGTACATCCTTTTGATGAGTCCCAAATAAGACGAAAAGCGCATCCTGGATTCCACTTCTAGCCACTATCCATCTCTGCTTAGAATCCTTGTGAATTAAGGCGATATCGAGGCGATTCGCACAGTATACACATATGCCAATAAGAGACTGACCAGTTGCAGTCCTAAACATCAATGGGAAGATTCAAACAAACAATACTAAATGAATTACGCATTATACACTGAGTTTTCATGATTTATGCTACTGATGTTAACAGATATAAGTAGTATGTATCATCAACCAAGAAAAAAATGCTTGGAGGCATAAGGTTAAGAAGATTGAAGAGAAAAGAGAATGAGAACAGAGGATGATTAGTGTGGAAACGAAGGAACGATAAAGTCTGAGACAGTTTATGGATATTTTGCAAATGAATTATTTACAGTATAGTTCTCAGATTTTACTAAGATGTTCTGAAGTGTTGTATTAAAATGCATTTACTTGTCCTCGTCTGCGTTCTTGTTCACCACACTATCACTAAGATCGTTCAAGAGTTCAAATTCATTGATGATCTAGGAAATCCCTTGACAAGAAATGAAAACCTAGTACCGGTTAATAATAATAATCTTTAATTGAAAAGCAGGTTGGCAAGATATCCATACTAATTTGAATAAAAGTGTTCTATTTTGTTTTTCAAATTGATTTCCTGTAACTGATAAGTTCATAACCAAACAAGATATAACTTTAAATTCGCTTGGTATTGTTTGAATCTTCCCATTGATGTTTAGGACTGCAATTAATCAGTCTCTTATAGGCATATGTGCTTACTATGCGTATTGCCTCGATATAGCCTTAATTCACAAGCATCATAAACAGAAATGGATAGTAGCTATTAGTGAAATGCAGTTTGACGCGCGTTTCATCCTATTTGGGACTCGTCAGCTGGATGTACCTGCATCCCAGAGTTGATATTTACTCTGGGACTCAAAACTAGTACCTATCGCCTCAAAGATATAACTTTATAAACACATACTATCGACATGTAAAGCTTTCGACTTTAAGTATTTCACCAAACACTTAAAAATGAGAATATAATGGATGAAAAGAAAAGAGATTTATTAAGTAACGAAGATAAAATATATAAGAGCTTCTTTTCAAACTTTTGTAATATAGTAGTAAACGAGTAAATAGGAGGGAACAACCAAATGTTCTTTAATACAACCTTATAGAATATCTTGGTAAAATCTCAGAACCACACAGCAATAATTCTGTTATATCTAGAGCTTTGATTCTTACTATGCCGCTTACTACTAGACTACTTGAACGATCGAACCCGCCACGTTGCAAGAGAAAAGACAGAAGACTAGTAAGTAGGAATTTTATTCCCCAAACCGTGTCAAATATAGTACAAAAATCTCATGTACTTATAGTTTTTTGACTGAAAGTAAATCATCATTTCGGACAACCAATAGGCACATAGAGGGTCATTCTTATCCACCCAGTAGGAAAGCTACAAGTCGACATTCTAGAATGTTCCCCTAGTGGTGATTGGATGGAATGTCTTCGGCTTTTTCTGGGCTTCTTGAGGCTTCCTTGAGTTCGCCGACGAGCCATCCTCACAACTTCATTTGCAAATTATTTATCAATTGTCTCAGACTTTGTTGTTCCTTCGTTTTCATACCAATCACTCACTGTTCTCATTCTCTTCCCTTTGATTTCTCTCAATCTTCTGTCTCCAGTTGTTCCACATTCGATTAGTGGTACATACTACTTATACTTGTCATTATCAGTAAAACGCACCACAATATCACTTTAACACAACGTACAGAATAACTAGTCAACTTCTTTTGATGATTACAAATATCAATAATCTCGAGTGATTTTAAATCATGAACTTGATATGATTAACTATATCACCTAAAAAATAGGCTCCAAATATGAGTAGAAGACTTGATATAACTCGAATAGTATATCGATTTCTATGGGACTTGAATAGGCATTTTCAATGATAGTAAAGTTATCAGAAGGGGTAGTTAAGTTGTTGAAAGATTGTAAACATGTTCAGAAAAAATAACCTTTTCAATCATTTAACTCTTTAATAATAAACGGTTAGACTATAAATATATTTATATTCAGTGATAATAATGTTTTAAGCAAAAACGGACAGTAGCTAGCATTAGAATGTAGAACGCATGATTCGTTCTATTTAGAAATCACCAGTTGGATAAACCAGCATTTCATAGTTGATGTACATTTCCTGACATGAACCTAGTATTGTTCGCTTCAAATATCATCATGTTACCTACTTGAGTATTAGGATATAAATCAGTTCAAGAACTATTAGTATTTAGTTCTTGACATTTTTGTACATAAATATGATTATCAATGTCTACACATGAATTACATTGTATTTAGACAGCAAAAATGTTCATTTTATTACTTACTTACGTCTGTTACTCTCAATGGAGCATACGCTGTCGACCATCATTCTCCAACCCACTCTGTCCTGTGTCTTCCTCTCTAGTTCTATCCAATTTTGTTCATTTTTCTCATGTCTGTCTCGATTTCTCAGCGTAATGTGTTCTTTGGTCTTCATCTTTTCCTTTTGCCCTCAGCATTCCGTGTGAGGGCTTGTCTTTTCACGTACTTGAGTGATTTCCTCAATGTGTGTCCTATCCACTTCAAGCGCTTCTTCCTGATTTCTTTCTCCACTGGAATCTGTTTTGTTGTCTCCCACAGCAGGTTGTTGCTGATAGTGTCTGGCCAACGGATCCGAAGCATTTTGTGTGGACAAATACTAGTAAACACCTGTATCTTCTCGATGATGGCTTTCGTAGTTGCCCAAGTTTCAACCCCATACATTAGAACTGTCTTGACATTTGTATTGAAAATTTCGATCTTGGTGTTGGTTAACAGTTGTTGTGAGTTCCAGATGTTCTGCAGTTGTAAAGATGCTGCTCTTGCTTTGCCGATCCGCGCCCTCACATCTGCATCAGATCCACCGTGTTCATCGATGATGCTGCCCATATATGTAAAGGTTTTCACATCCTCAAAAGCCTCTCCGTCAAGTGTAATTCGATTGGTGCATGTTGTATTTTATCGGAGAGTCTTGCTTTTCCCTTCGTGTATATTGGGACCTACTGCTTTTGAGGCTCCTGCTACACTGATCGTCTTCTCCTGCATTTGTTGTTGAGTGTGTGATAGAAGAGCCAGATCATCTGCGATATCTAAATCGTCCAGCTGCATCCTAGCTGTTCATTGTATCCCGTGCTTCCCTCCAGATGTTGACGTCTTCATGATCCAGTTGATCACCAGGAGAAAAAGAAAGGGTGAGAGTAAGCAACCTTGCTAGACACCAGTCTTTACCTCAAACGAGTCAGTGAGTTGTCCTCCATACAGTTTAATCCATTATAGGAATTCCGCATGATGTTCATTTATTAATTATGGTCTTATCTCCTAACGATTTCATGTTAATCATGAAACTTATTCAAAAATGTAAGTAACTCCTATTCTGTGACAGAAGATTTCATTTATTCAGAAATGATCATTTTAGGTAAATAGAAGCTAATGATATGGAGTTCTGAAAATAAGTTTATGTTGCAATGAATTTAACAGTAGGGTATATCTACGACCTTAAAGGAGTAATTTATGTAATATCACAGTTAGAAATATTACGACTGACCCATTTGATTAACAACATATGTTCTGTTGCATTGAGATATGATATTGGCTTTGTTTATGTAATCAATCAGTATAAATAGCTATCCAAATAAAATAATCTATCTTAATATATTCTGTTATTGATTGTTTTTTATAGGTGGTTTCTCTAGTCCACAAACTCAGTTGAATAGTTCATGTTTAACAAATAGAACAGTGAACCTAAATCCTAAACCAATCATTTCAAATTCACTATTAGATAATGATAATGAAGAAGATGAAGAGAATAAGGGGAATCTACAGAAAGAATCTAAGATTACATCCACAAGACAACAACAACAACAACAACAGATGTTAGAATTAATACAATCTCATAATCAAACCGATATGGACACAACTCAAAGTGTATTGGTTGATGATACAAACTCTAATGGAAATGATTTGAATAAGATACAAAATTTAGATAACTCAAATGAAAATCAGACTATGAAAGGTAAGATTAGAAAGTTCATTACCCTATTTTTTCTTCCCATTTTAATATAATTTAAGTTACAAAGCAAAAAAAAAGAGTGTTAAGCATTTCTAGAGTTCACTTCCAAAAGGTTAGTTGTTACATTTGAAAAGAGAGTCAGTGGATAGTTAAGTTCTTGTCACTTTACTCAATACTAAACAGATAACTTATGAACTATTTAGTGAGTAAACTAACCATCTGATTTCTGTTATCTTCTTATGCCCTGTTAATTATCATGTGATTGATTCGCCAATTAGAACACTAATTTATATGACCTTGGCACTTTGCCAAAACCAATGACGTAATCACCAATACGAGAAGCCTTAAGTCAACTCTGAGTCCTTATTGATTCTGCTTGCCTAACCCTAGCCGTTTAAGTCCAGAACACGATCTCAGCTTCTAATGTATAAATCCTACATTTCAGACATACTTGGTTTATATACAAGCAAATTGAACTTCATCATACCATAAATTAGAAAATAACAATTATATAAGATCAAACCAAAAAGTGTCTGTGATTGTGAGAGACTGTAATGATTAACTGGCTGTAACTTAAGAACATTAAATCCTATAATAATAATTGACAGGTTGAAATCAACCTTATAATAAGAGAAATAAAATTTTTATAGTCCAGTTGCTTATTAGTTATACCATGACAATATATATGTATAATAACAGCTCATAAATAATTCCCAGAAGTTACTATTCGTTTTCATGGTTGAAATCATGAGTCAGTTGAAGCGATACAACCATGGAAAATCTGGAAGCACTGGACGGCCGTTCCGTCCTATTATGGGACTCCTCAATAGTGCGCATCCACGAACCCGCACTTGCATGATCTGCACTCAGGACCTACCAGTCTCGCGCCAGAGCACTAAAACCGACAGACCACTGAGCCGTAGTCCAACGGTGTTAATGTCTAACTTCAGCCAATCCACGAAGTTTGAGCAACCGTTCGAATCTCACGAGTGCGGGATCGTAGATGCTCACTACTGAGGAGTCCCGTAATAGGACGAAACGGCCTTTCAGTGCTTCCAGGTTTTCCATGGTCTAGCTTCAATTGACTCATGATTTCAACCATCAAAATACCGAAATCTCCGCAAAACCCCTTCTCATTATTATTCATTTATTCTTCGTTAGGATATAACAACTTCGATATTTGCTTCATGAACCCGAATTACCAAGAAACTAGTCAGATATTAGATGGGACATTATGTGATCTCGTTCGACCACTAATTTCGATAGTAAAAAGGCACTGTTAACTGTACTCAAAGTTAAGTCATAACACAATAAGTTAACTTTGATGAACTCTGGTCTATGATCTACTCTTTTTTACGCGCTGACTACGAACTAATCTTGATAAATCTTATGACTGGACGCTTGAATCGGTTTCCTAAGCTTCTTTAGTAATCGTAGGCTAAATCTACATGACAACTTGAACACGAAAGAAAAGGCACGAAATCTGTAAAGAACGCTTTACTCCAATATTAGTTTATGTACAGTAAATCAAGGTATTTACAGTCTTGTGCTTCTAGAAGGTTCTGGAGCCCTACGAAACATAGTAGCAGGATAGTCAACCATCCAATCAGAGGTGTGATACGTGACTCCTCACTTTCTAAATGTTTCTGAGAAACTATTTAATACTGATTTGATAAAGTATTTCCCAGCGTTTTCATGGCCACTACGAGCTTTTTCTGAGGAATATTCTAGGTCTCCGCAACTAATCTAATGAGTGTATAACTATTATTTATAAAGTTACTCGGCAACCCTCATATAACGAAAATAAACACCATAGTAATGGTAGCGTAGAATAATATCTCTCGCAAATTCAAAACGTTTTGCTTTCAGTTTTACTACTTTTCAAGTGAGATTCCTGTCATGGCGAATCCTTAAATAATAAGTTTTCCAGCCAGTATAATTCAACTAGCAGACAATGATGAGCTAACAGATTCACCATGTTAAAGTAATTAATCATAATGAGAGTAAATTTCTTTATCTTAGAATACATGTGACCCACCAAAATCAGTCATACAATAAAAATTTTCATTAACTGTTAAGTTGAAACACAATGACATTATAAATTTTAAAAAATTCATAGGAACCTAGCATTTGTTTCGCAGAACTGAACTTTTTAAATGAACTATACGGTTCCTTATTTGTTCGATTAATATTTTTAGCTATGAATTAGAGATCAAATTACTGGATTTCTGACTAACAAGCTATGATATAAAAACTTATTCAGTTTGCTTAAGTTTACTTACTTACTTACGCCTGTTATCCCTCATGGAGGAGAATAGGCCTCCCACCAGCATTCTTCATCCAACCCTGTCCTGGGCAATCTTTTCCAGTTCTTTACAGTTAACATTCATTTTTTTAATATCTACTTCTATTTCCCGGCGTAATGTGTTATTTGGCCTTCCACTTTTCCGCTTTCCTTCACCATTCCAAGTTACGGCTCGCGTCGTGATGCAGTTTGGGGATTTTCTTAATGTATATCCGATCCACTTCCAACGTCTTTTTCTAATTTTCTCTTCAGCTGGAAGCTGGTTTGTCCTCTCCCATAAAAGACTGTTGCTGATCGTATCCCGCCAGTGAATGTTGAGTAATTTGCGTAGACAACTCTTTATAAATACTTGTACCTTCTTGACAATGAATGTAGTGGTTCTCCACGTTTCAGCTCCGTACAGTAGGACCGTCTTGACGTTTACTTGAGTCTTATTTCCTTTTTTTAATGCGTAAGGGTGTTTCAGGCGCGACTATAATTTATAGACGAACTAATCAGGTATAAGATAATAGGTCTCGCGTTTTGGCACGAAATTCATTCATCCATTTGGATAAATAGCGTTTTCACCTTATGGCTGATGTCAGTTCGTAATGAAAACCATAAATCTGATTCCTAACCTTAACCATCAAATGTAAATCATAATTGTAATTCCTCACATTGCTCTATAACCCTAATTTAGTTTTAGTTAGTAAGTGCACATTCTGAGGATCGGTGTGGTGTCACTCAAAAGTTGTCCATACATTATAGTCTTACAGTATTTCATGCACAACAAATTCATTTTTTAATTAGTCACTATTTATTTGTAAAACAACTTTTAGTATGATAATTTCTATTCACTTCTTATAGTAACATTGTTTTAAAAAAAGATCTCAATAATCTCGTTGCACAAGTTAGTAGCCATTTCGGATTCTTATTCAATAATATGTTGGCTGTTTAAAGCAAGAGGTACTGGACTCGAGTCCCTTGGTGAAACTTAATACTAGGATCCTAGTATATCCAACTGAAAAGTCCCATATAGAATGGAATGTGTTTCCTGGGTTCCACTGCTAGCTACAACGCACCTGTTTTATTCAACTTTTGCTTTATATCAACATAGTGTTTATTTTTATAGTTGAAATCATGAGTCCATTGATGCTAGATCACCATGGAAAACCTGGAAGCACTGGACGCCCGTTTCGTCCTATTATGGGACTCCTCAGCAGTGAGCATTCACGATTTATTTCACTGAGCTTTAATAAAAAATGTTTTTTCTTCTAATTCCTAGATTCCAGTTGGAAATTATCTATTTATACAGAGAAATCTGCACAAAACTGTGAAATCATCTTATTTGTCTATGGCATAGATGGTAATTCAGGTCCAATATTAATTGGTAGATCAAATGATGACAAAGGATTATTTCAAGCAAATAGGATTGATAATTTCATGGTAAGTAAGAAATGATTTATGTCATGAATTTATTAAATCTATCATTTTGACAACGGTAATGATTCATTGCTAATTATGAGTTTTCAGTAAACTTATAGTCTAAGAGTCTATTTTTAAAAGATTAGTTGTTTTTTATAGTTTAGTTCATTAGTCAATTAAAGCTAGACAGTCATAGGAAACTTGAAAGTATTGGATGGCTGTTTCGTTCTAGTGTAGGACTCCTCAGCAATGTGCATCCACGATCCCGCCCTCAAAATACGAACCCAGGACCTATCGATCTAACGAGCGAACGCCTAACCTCTAAACCAATGATACTTTATTTATTTAGACACATAAATATGGTCTATCGGGTAAGTGCTCAGGCGTGAGACTGATAGGTCCTGGGTTCGAATCCCGCGAGTGGGGTTCGTGGGTGTGCACTATTGAGAAGTCCCATAATAGGACGAAATGGCTGTCCAGTGCTTCCAGGTTTTCCATGGTGGTCTATCTTCAATTGACTCATGATTTCAACTATGAAAATTGATTAATTGTTAAGTAATTTTATTATTTTAACTAATCAATACAAAAAGGCGGTTAACATGAATTGAAAATAACAATTTTGATCAATCGTTATATCGAGTTAGTGCGTACGTGCCCTATATAGTATATGAGTGATAAGACCGCCTTTCAGAGATCAGTGGATTTATTGATCGCTCAATGATACACAAAACCTGTATGAGCAGTCTTGAGTACTTATTAATCCTGCTTACTGCCTAGCTTAGTCAGTTAAGTCCAGAACACCAATAACAGCCTCTGCAATATCAATCATTATTCTCAAACATACTGCGTTTATATACCAAACAAACTGACTACATCGTACCATAAAATAGAAAATAAAATTTGTACAATATTTGACCAAATGTGACTGTGAATGTGGGAGGCAGTAATTAATAGATTGGGTATAACTCAGGAATGGTAAATCGCATAATAATAATAGTCTATGGGTCAAAATAAAGGTTATAATAAGAGGAACACGAATATGAATAATTAAGTTACTTAACAATTATACAATAAGAAATATACATATCATATCAGTCCGTAAATAGTTCTCAAAAGTTACCTTTCATAACTCTCTTCGGGATATAACATCAATGAACAAAAATATTAAACAATTATATATTAAAAATTTTATATTAATTAACTATAATGAACTCGGTGATTATGAAAAAGACAAGTATTAATGATTCAATGATTTTCCTCATCAGTGTTATGTGTGAATTGATTTTTAAACTAGGAAAAATGATTCTGTGACCAGAGGAAAAAGTACTAAACTGGAAATCATAGAATTAAAAATATTTAATAGAAATAAGAAATGATAAGCAAAGATTGATATTGGTTAGCAGTGGAATCTAGGACACGTGTTTCATCCTATTCGGGATTCTTCAGCTGGATTTACTTACATTCTAGAGTTGTTGTTTACTTAGTAACTTGAATCCAGTACCGTTCGCTTCAAATGCTAGCCACTATTCATCTTTACTTATGATAATTGAGAATTACGGTAATATCAAGGCAATCTCCACAGGATGTACATATATCAATAAGAAACTGATCCATTGCAGTCCTAAACAGCAATGGGAAGATTCAAACAAATAATACCAAGTTAATTTAAACTTCACCCCATTGCACAATCAAGTGGCTATCAGGATTCACTAGCTGAGTGGATAACGCAATTGCTTTTGGAGCAAAAGGTACTGGGTTTGAGTGCCAGAGTGAACATCAACTATGAGATGCAGGTACATCCAGCTGACGAGTCCCAAATAGGACGACACCCATGTCAGACTGGATTCCACTGCTAGCCACTATCCATATTTGCTTATAACATACATAAATGTTTATCGAAAAAATAAGTGACTTGTAATAGAACACATAATTAAAGTTTGTTTTATAAAAGGAACAATTGGTCAAATAAAAATAAAATGTTTTTTGATTATTTATTTATTTGACTGCAATGATTGAACAAAACTGAATCTTCAAAGAATCAGAAACTAACTTTCAATATAACAAGTATTGGGAAATGGAATTGCTGGAAGAAATAATTAACCAAGCTAATATGAATTAACGATTTATTCGAACTGCTGTCTGAACTTCTCAGCTTGATATTGTCAACTTCTTGTTGTAGGGAGATAGTCAGCTGGCTTATACGGCAATGCGCTCAAAGATATCGTTCACAAACGAGTTTATGATCGACATTGCCTTCGATGAGATACCACTGTCATGATGAACTTGACGAAGAACTTTATAGATGGAGATAGCATAAGTCTTTTTTCTTCCTCCTCTTCTTCTTCTTTTCAACTTTCGGTAGCTTAGCCTTCCAGGCTTTCTTCGCAGCCATACCAAATACAACTTTAGGAGACATCACTTTGTAGACGAACGCTTAGTATATGTGTTTTGTGTGGGCGAAAAGAAATAATGATTGGTTGTTTTTTCTAGACAAATTGGTATATGATAATCTGACAAGTTATTGATGTGCCACATATACTACCCTATCATTGTACTTACTTATTCGTTGATTGTCTATTATTGGCTGATACATGTACTCTTCAAGTGAATCATGTGTTCTGGATTTGAGTTGATATTGATGCCTACTAGAATAGTGATAGCTAGGAATCTACTAATGAGTGAATGAATCATATACTCAAATAAATTTTTCACTGTTTGTCTGAAGCAATTTAGTGTCTCATTAGTGTAAAGGAGGAATGTGAGCGTTATTTCATTGTAATAAACTAAGGATAATCATGGAGATTACTAGATGACTAATAAAACTACTATTCATGAATGTTGTAACAAATGACTTATTTCATAGGATACAATTATAATCTCTCCTTCAAAAAGAAAGCTATTCTTTCTCTTGATCATCTTAGTATCTTCATAAGAGCAGACAGCGACTGAAGCTCAACCAGGTATATATACATCGCTTAGCATAAACAGATAATGTCATGAACGAACTCTGATATAATCATAAATTTGATTCGTAGTATACTAGAAGTACAGAAAACTTATACATTCCAAGTAATATTCAGGTTATAGATCGTATACTTGGTAAGTTTGGATTCAAATTAATTCTTTAACTAATTTGAAAGCTGGGTGTTGGGGATGTCAAATCCCCAGAACTTACTTGATAAATGGCTTAATTTTGTAATTTTATTTTGAAGATTTGAATTTCTTTGTTTTCGCGCCAGAGGCGCTCTTCAAGTCGTATTTCCCACTTGTAAAATATCTTAAATGTTATTGGTCAGTTGTATCTTTGAGTATGCTGTTTTGTATTACCGCCCAAGGATAATTTATCGCTCTATATATATTTGAGTTTTTCCCCTTATGATTTGCTTGTACTCGTCTGCTTACGGAATATATATTTCCCTACTTCGTCTTGGACTTCTTCCTCTAGTTAGCGGGGCCTGGGAAAAAGGGATTAGATTAGCCTATCCTGTCACTGTGTCATTGACCTTCGTTCGTTTACCGAGAGATCGAATTAGCTCAAGCATATCACTGGGATCAATTAAAGTCTCATTTTAGAAAGAAACCATCTACAATTCTACCAATTACTTGTTTCATAACTTAATAAATCAAAAAAATTACAATATAATATCATGTATTTATTTTGATAGATTTTACTCGGAAATATCGGTCCAATTTACAAGATACGTCTAGAAGTGAATCAAATAAATCCAGATCATGATAGTGAATGGGAAGTTGACAAAGTGAGTAATAATGATGAAAATAACACTACAATTTTACTTATATTTATAGCCATTCTCTGATTAATGTGACTCGGTAGAGGAATACAAACACTAGGTTTCGATTGATATCATGAATGGAGGAATGCTAAACTACCTGTGAAAACCTGGAAGCACTGAACGGCCTTTTCGTCATAGTATGGGACGGTCGCTCAGTATCGTGGATTGGTTGAACTTAGACATTAGCACCGTTGAACACTGTATCAGTGGTCTACAGGCTAGGCGTTCGAGCGCGAGACCGAAGGTCCTAGATTCTAGTCCCGCGTGAGGGATCGCATATGCACACTGCTGAGGAGTCTCATATTGGGATGAAACGGTCACCCAGCACTTCCAAGTTTTCAATGGTGCTCTAACATTGATTCATTAATTATATCAATCTAAACTCAGCAATCTCTACAACTCAATACTGACAAACACTAGGCTTTAAGTAGTGATTATTTTGTAAAAGTTTGAAATAATAAATAACATCTTGTCTAAAATTTGATCAACCTAGTGCTTAAGTCACCGATTCACTGAATTATAGTTAAAGAGATAATAAGAAAAACCATTGAAATTACGAACCGTTCAGAGCTATTGACACAATTCCCCAAAGTCTATAATTTCCATTAGACAATATTAAGTTGTTGTAACAGTTTATGTTAACATAGTACAGATCAAACGATCAACAAGCATAATATACGAGATGTGAGTTAACGAATAAGTTAGCTAACGAGAAAACAAGATAGTGAGTACAAATATGAATGTAGATCAATTACCAATATTCAACAAGCATATATATAAAGACATACGAACAGGTCATCAATCGTTTTAAACAAATAAGATAAGTATATGCGTGGGCTATGACATGTGATCAATCCTACATATTCATACATGCATGGGGATAAGATACATAGAAATATCGTCTGATTTATTGCTGACCAAAATATGACTGTTTGTTTGTTAAGTAAGCTAATCAAAGAGCAGAATAGATTTAAACATATACAAATTCAGGAGGTAGTAAGAAAGGTATACTACAAAACATTTGAACTTCGACGAATCCTTGGAAACAATGGAAACTATCGATGAAATCATTACTAAACTTTCTATTCCATATTAGTTGACTAGATCATATTAATCGATTTCATCGTAAAATCACAAAATTGTATGATCTTACATGCTATTTGATATCTGAAAGTTATAAACAATTTGTTAGACAGAGATTGTATATGACATGTTCAGTTCCGTTTGGATGATTGTCTAATTTGTAAAACATCTGAATATCTCTCAATAAAATAGAAATAAAAGTTTTCTTGGCAAGACCATAAGATAACAGGTTTCGGATTTTAACACAAAATTCATGCATTCATCTGAATAAATAGAGTTTTCGCCTTATTGCTGATGTCAGTTCATGATGAAAACCACAAATCTAATTCCTATCCTTAACCATCAAATGTAAATCATGATTATAATTCCTCACATTGCTTTATAAGCTTAATTTAGTCGTAGTAAGTAAGTTGACATTCTGAAGGTCACTGTGGCATCGCTCAAATGTCGTCCATATATTATAGTTTCACCGTTTTCATCCTTAAACTAATTGTGTGTTTTATGTTATATTGTTAATGGTCTCATAATTAATCCATCTAACTGTCAAGCTGTTAACTTTAGCTTGAGACATGAACTGCACCTAAACACCATGTTGCGATCTCATAATGCTTGTTCCATTGGAGACTCTTTGATAAACACAGTATCGAAGGTCAATTATCTTGGTGTTACCTTTTCCTCTGATCTCTCTTAGTCTTCCCACGTTTTGCTATTATCGAAGAAAGTTTTCCATCTGACTTACTACATAAAAAGGCTGCATGCCTTTGACATTACTCGATATTTACTCTTACAATTTGTCAACTCCTGCATATTACCTATTATTTTTTTACTATTCTCCATTATTCTTTTCCGGGCTTTTGAGAAAAAACTTTGCTGTATTGTGGAGAGTGCTGAAGGCAGTTTGCGAGGTGTGTGGTGAATCTTTTGAGGTCATTATTAATATATATGGGGATAGACATCTTAAGTTTTGCAAACTCCTGGCAGGTGATATCTTATCAGATACTAACTATCCACTTTATTCATATCTTTCTCCTTGTATATCTTCTGCTAGAACGACACGTCAATACATTAAAATCCATGAACACAAGCAAAAGTACAAAAGTGCTGTAATACCTTACCTAGCAAATATACTCTGTAACGGATAGATTATTAGAGTTAACCAAGTCAATAACCTGTATTCTTAAACATGTCTCTAATTTGAAAAGTTGTACAGATTCAGAACTTATTCTTTTCTTTTTTTATTCCTTGTGAAAGGAACTTGTTGAAATAACCCGTTCTGAGAATTCTATATTGTATCAAAATATAATATTGAATAAAGCCATTAATAATAATAATATTGATAGTTCAGATCATGAATCAATTGAAGCTAGACCACTATGGAAAACCTGGAAGCATTCGTCCTATTAACACCGTTGGATGCCGGCTCAGTGGTTCTAGGGGTTAAGCGCTCACAAGAGAAACTGATAGGTCCCAGTGTAGTGTGGTCTACTTATATCCATATAAGTAGTATATGGTGATGGTCAGATATAGAATGTATTTTGGCAGAAGATCGATAAGGGGAGAACAGAAATGAAGCGTAATTGATAGGAAAATGGAATTAGAGAAGATGAACTGATATTTCCAGAAGGAACAATGATGATTGAGACAATTGATTGTTATTTTGCAAATTAACTGTTTATTGTTTGGTTATCATAATTTAATGAGATAATCTGTAATGTTGTGCCTAAATACATTCAATTGTCCCCACTCGTGTTCTTATTCACTACACTGGGTTTGAATTTCGCGAGGCGGGAACATAGATGCGCATTGTTGAGGAGTTCCATAATAGGACGAAACGACCATCGGGTGCTTCCGGGTTTTCCATGGTGGTCTACTTTCTATGGATTCATGATCTCAACTATTAAAATTACTATAATATCCACAAAACCCCTTCAAATAATAATAATAATACTGATAATAAATTCATTTAGTATTGTTTGTTTGAATCTTCCCATCAATGTGTTAGGACTGCAACTGGTCAGTCTTTAATTGGCATATGTGTTTACTGTGCGTATAGTCCCAGAGATGCAGGTACATCCGGCTGACGAGTCCAAAATAGGACGAAATGCGCGTCAAACTGGATTCCACTGCTAGCCACTATCCATCTTTGCTTACAATACTAATAATAATTTCATATTATTAAACATTATTAATTTATTGTTTGTTTATCCTTTACTCATCTTACATACTATATATATACATGCAATATATTAAGTTGATATTAGAAAATATCAAAACAACCAAACAGTTAATATTCAATTTTATTGGTCGACCATTTGGATTATATAACAATTTTTATTGTTTATCTCGAGAACAAATAATGAAGAAGAAACAATCAGAAGGAGAACAAGAAGGACAAGAAGGAGAAGAAGGACAAGAACAAAAAGGAGAAAGAGAAGAATTCAATTTATGCCTTTTAAATTATCGTATCCAATTAGAATTTAATTATAATATGATTAAAACAAATGATCAATTAAATCTATCATTAGAACCATATATTTGTTTAATTGGACAATATGGTGATAGTGGTCGTAGATTATTAGGTCATATTATTAATGATAAACAATTTATTGTAAATGAGAAAAGAAATATACTGGTAAGATTTTTTAGGTGAATAGTTTACAAGCATTTTAAAAATATATTTTTTATATAGTTGAGATCATGAATCAATTGAAGCTAGACCATCATGGAAAACTTGGAAGCACTGGACGGCCGTTTCGTTCTATAGTGGGAGTCCTCAACAAGATTTGAACCCAGGACCTATCGATCTTGTGTATGAGCGCTTAACCTCTAGACCATTGAGCCGGCATCAAACGGTCGTCTAATGCTTCCAGATTTTCGATGGTGAACTAGCTTCAATTGACTCATGATTTCAACTATATAAAATTATTTTAAAAAATATTTGTTTAAAATGATTTCCTTTCTTCTTTTTTTGGGTTTTTAATCGTTGAATTCATGTGTTGAATTGATCTAGATCATTATGGAAGTATTGGATGGTTGTTTCATCTTAGTATGGGTCTCCTTAGTCAATGCTCCCAGGTTTTAAATAGTGAATTAGCTTAATTTGATTCATTAATTCAACTACGATTTCAACTTAAAAATAAGTTAAGCGACATTTTCAGTCTTAGAAAGACTAGATTTTCACAATTAAATTCGATGTAATGTAAAGCATAAGCTGAAGGTATTAATTTACTGTTATTGACCTTATCAATCAAGTTAAATTTTCTTCTTTTTTCTTCGTTTCATCCTACTTTATGGCAGTGAAACATGGCCGGTAAGAGAAGAGGATATTCGTAGGCTACTAGTTTTTGATCACAGGTGTCTTCGAAGCATTGCTCGTATATCCTGGGACCACCTAGTAAGTAATGCAGTTGTTAGGAAACGGGTACTACGTAAGGATGGCAAATCAATTGATGAAGTAGTAAAACTTCATCAGTTGAGATGGCTGGGACACGTGTTACTTATGCCCGACCACCGACTGCCTCGACGTGCAATGTTTTATGGCGTAGGAGTAGTTTGGAAGAAAGCTAGTAGCGGCCAGACCAAAACGTGGCACAAGTACATGAAGTCACTGACAATTAGACTGAGTCATGTTGGTAGGTGTAGACTACCTGGTTGGTATTCGCGAGATGACAGCAACCGATGGTTAGAGACCTTGAATGACATGGTTCAAAATCGTTTGCAATGGCGAAGGTGCATCCACTCTTTGTGTTCTGCCAAATTCTAATCTGAATTCTTCATATCTGTATCCTTTCTCTCTTTCCAAATTTATTTCACTATATTATACTTCTTCAATAACATCTTCAAACCCTAATCTTTTACATTAATGCTTATACTCTTACTACTTCTACCACTATGAGATTTAAATCGACAACTGCATCTCTGTGCTAATGTGGTGTGGCAACTCGAACTGGTGTACGTACGTACGAAGTTCTACGTTGTGACTGACTGACTGACTAAATTTTTTTCTGGAACCAATTTGTTTAGATCTAAATCGTAATGATTAAGATCTCTTGACTCTACCTAGTAACAAATAATGAAGATCTTATAAAATATGAATAGATTTTTGCTAGCAGAAAATCTATAGCTCTCTAAATTGTTAAAGTAAATTGTTATGACTTTATAAAAGAATAAGCCCTATGCCAATTTGTTGTGGTCTTATGTCCTACTTTTTATCACGTGAATTAACACTGTGCCAAATCAATGATGTTCAACTAGTATGAGCAGTCTAGCGTCATTATTGGTCCCTTGTCCGTCTAGCCCTTCCAATTGAGTCCAGAACACCAATTACAGCTTCTGCTATGCGAATCATTTATTTCATTTATTATATACCAGACAGACAGACGGCATCACATCATAAAATAGAAGATATTATATGTACAAGATCAAGCCAAATATGGCTATGAACGTGGAGGCAATAATCAATAAACTGAATATAATTTAGGAACAGTACAGTACAGTAATAATTCATAGGTCAAAATGAAGCTTACGATAAGATGAATATAGATCTACATAATCTAATTACTCAATAGTTAGAAAATAAGAATATACATAGAATAATAGTCCATTAATAGGTCCTGGAAGTTATCCGTACTCATGTCTTCGCTAGGATATAACATAAATAACCAAATGCTATAAATTGTAAACAGTTTTCAGGAGTTCAACAATACTTATACTGTTAAATTGCCCTTCAATTCTCTCTATTGTCTATAGAAATTTACGATTATGTATATCGTTGTAAATATAGTATCCTTTTTTTACATTTTATTGAATTCACTTTCAACACTGATGTTAATAACCAGTTTTAAGTCTTTAGCTGTACGATCAAACTAATATGATGTATACACCAGTACAAAGAGCCTAGAGTCTCGATTGGATTTATTCCCCACTTAGACTGGCCTGACAAGTACAGAACACCAATCTCAACCTCCACTATACGAATCATATATTTCAAACATACTTGGTTTATATACAAACAACCCAGATCACAGTACACTATAAAATAGGAAATAACATTTGTACAAGATCAAACCGAAAATTGGCTGTGATTGTGAGGACTGTGACTAATCTACTGAGAATAACTTGAGCATATAACAGTAACCAATAGGTCAAATAAAAGCTTATAATGAAAGGAATATGAATATACGTATAATATAGTCACTTATTAGTTGTACAATAAGAATATGCGTATAATATTAGTCCATAAGTAATTCCTAACGGTTACCATTCATTTATTCCCATCCGGATATGACAAATGAAACTAATTTTCTACATTGACCACGTTTACTGTTAAATAATGGAAACCAGTGATATAATACATATATTAAGATGAGTTATAACATGGCAGCATTGCAAAATTTGTCCAAACTGCATTCACCTTATTAGGTCGATTAAAAGCTTACGACATCATATGCTGAATGCGTCTCGTCATTATATGTTGATTATTTTATTGAGTAGTTCCAAAATATTCCGCGGAAAATCAATTAGGGTCCGAAAACCTCTTAAAAACATTTCATCCAGTCACAGTCGAATAGAGGTTTCTACGGAACATCTAGAAGAATGACACACCACGTGCCATGTATTTGATTGGATAACTGCACTATTACCGCCATATTTATTATATTGCCAGAACTTTCTAGACGATCTAACTCACGTTATTTAGTATAAATACGCACGATTTTCTGAGCATACCTCAAACTTACAACAAAGCGTCTTTTTAGCACTTTACGGCTTTTCTCTCGTGTTCTGCGTAGATTTGATCTAGGGTTATTAGAAGCGATATTTTGTGCATTATATAATATGTCGATGTTAAGTACTCAGTGCTCACTTAGTAATAAAAGTACCTGAGACTATTTTAGATAATTATATTCATTTCCATAGCTAGATGATAGACATTTCTTTAAACATTTAACTGATGAGTAACACATTCATTTTACTCCTTATATTACTTCTTTCCCATCAATAGGTACTTGATACGTTGATTGAGTCAGCTTATCTTGGTGAGGTGACCAGCTGCTTTCTAGGTCCAGTTGATATTGAAGAACGATCAAAAGAGGAACGTACTGGTTTATTATGTACTAAAATTTTGATATGGGATACAAAAAAGGAGGTGATTTATGAGATCCCATCAGATACGTAAGTTTCACTTAATCATAAATAAGCTTATAGCCGAATATAGTCAAGTTTTTACAAACAATGTACCACAAAGTGGTGACTATAGACAGGTTTTGCTTACAACTAAGAACAAATCTGGAGACTCAAGATTTTGTTTCGTTTCTATGACAAAACTAAACAATATGATATGCATAGAACCTAATATACCTTTACCTCCCTTGTCTACTTATTTATGTTCAATTTAGTTATGTAATATCCTTGTACAAAGAAACAAAATTTTATGGTTGTCAGTTTTCAAAGACCTTTTCTTTCTTTTTTTCTTAGTTGGCTACTTTTTCAAAGAAATGAACAAACACATGAAATTCACCTGGAAGTTGGTCGTAAGTTATGAATAATTTTATAAACCTACCATTGTTCATTTTTTGAAGGAAAAAAGGAGTACTTTAAACTGTCTTAAGAGAATCCAGTACACCAATCAAATTCTTTTCATTCTTGAAAACGAAATCCTTTTGGGCGAGACTATAATTTATGGACGACCTTTGAACGAATTTAATATGACCTTTAGAAATGTTAGCCAATCAGTAAACAGTCAACATAGAGTAAAAATATATTATACAACACCAAAGAATGAGAGTGAGTACACTTCTTTTACATGGTCCAAGAACTTATCAAAGTTAGAAAGAGGTTCAAAGGTTTTGTAAACAATGTAATGCATAAGGTAGAGGAACTCATCCATATGGCTTCATAAAAGTTGATTTCTGGAACCATGATAAGGTCACAAAAACCCTCTCAGCCTCGACTACATAGCTTCAATATTGTTTGTTTGTACTGCGGTTGTATAAGTTTATCATTTTTATTATGGATATGTCCCTACAATACTCATACCACTGAACAGCCGAAGCTTCAGTAACATCTGCTATTATTGCAGCCAATGTTACTGGTGCTTTTATTACAGAGTTCGCAACAATTATTATAATTTGCCTTAGTTTCATTTCAGCAGACTTATTCCTTCAACATATATTGCATCGAAGGACAACACCAGGGTGGTCTGCACAAGGTCTACAAGTCATTTAATACCCGCAAGTACAAATACAGGAACTTCTTAGTAGTCTCATTTGTTGTAACCGCTTAATTGTCAAGCCTTTTCTATAATTCTCTGTGAACCGATCGTACATGAGCACCAGGTACTCAAATCGGCGCCATGACCTAGAAATCCCTCAAACGCTTCTGGTTGGCTTGTCCATAAATTATAGTATCGCCCTCCTTTTGTTTAGTTTAAACAACTTGATTAAATTAGTATGTCTATGCAACTCAGATACGAATCAATATTATTATATGTTTATTTTCTTTAAAGTTTGGATGTTTTTGTGATTACCTGATTGTATGTCCGATGAGATCAAAAAACATTTTAGCAAATGACTCAAAGAAGGAGATCAAAAAACGTCACATTCATACAACCATTGATGATTGAACAGATATATAACTAATTATTTGATAGATAAAGAGAGGGTATTGACCAATGACTTCTAAAATACAATTGTTTACTCGCAAAATTGGAAACTTTCAAAAATACACCTAATATAACTTACATTTAAGGGTCTTAAATCCGTATCAATCAAGTACATCTGCCAATGATGTACAAATATATAGGTAAATAGAGTAATGAGCAATATAATGTGTCTGATCTATAGCATTGATTGAATTCTATCAATCGAATTGTGATATTGCCACCAGTGTGACTCAACATTAATTACTCCCAGGAATTATTGGAACCCTCTGAATAGAGTGCGATCAACACTAAGAATCAGACAAACACCATGTTGATTACTACTCATTTATTAATTATTGTACATATTTCAGTCATAAAGGTTAGTCATAGTTGAAAATAGCTCAGTACTAACATCTCAAATTGAAACATCGTCTGACATGCGTTCGAACGCTACAGCTCCCACAATACTGCAAATATGCCTTTCTGGAAAGTGGTAACTATCAAGAAACTTCATTGCAAGATTTTTTCGATTATCCCTCTTTATTTACATAATTTCTTATCTTAACTCTCAATTATATTCTGCCATTCTTTAACTTAACCGAATGTCAGTACATGTACAAAGACTCAACTTAGACACTAATGTACTCAAGCTAAGTAAAGAACACCAAAAAAATACTTAGAAAGACAAGAACGTAAATAAATGTAAAGATTCTTAGTTTTAAGGTATTTTAAAAATCACTAACATCCATTATGTAATGCGAAAGTGATAACAAAGCAAAAACGGGGAGTGGCCAGCAGTGGACAAAACGCACATCCTGGATTCCACTGCTATCCACTATCTATCTCTGCTTAGAATCCTTGTGAATTAAGACAATATTGAGGCAATACACATAGCATGCAAATATGCCAATAAGATACTGATCAATTGCAGTCCTAAACATCAATGGGAAGATAGATTCAAGTAAACAATATCAAGTGAATTGAAAGTGATAACTTCGTATAAATTCATTTAGTATGGATTGTTTGAATCTTCTCATCAATGTGTTAGGACTGCAACTGATCAGTCTCTAATTGATATATATGCATACTGTGCGTATTGCCTTGATATAGCCTTAATTCACAAGCATTGTTAGCAAAGATGGATAGCGGCTAGTAATGGAATCCAGGATGCGCGTTTCATCGTATTTGGGACTCGTCAGGTGGATTTACCTGCATCTCAGAGTTGATGTTTACTCTGGGAGGAACTCGAACCCAGTACCTTTCGCTTCAAACGCCATCGTGTTATCCACTAGGCCACTGAGTCCTGTTTGTATAAATATTTAAATACGTTCTTAAGATTTTTTAAAATTATATCTTCTACAGAAGTTCTGCTAAGAGTGACAGGATCCAAAAACTCTTTATCTAAATTCATTGCTACTTGTTACTAGGTAAATTAATATTCATAGAAACATTTTTAAACATGCTTTGACATGTTAAGAGAATAAAACACAACCAAAAATTCCCATAACTTCCAGTTAACTAATTTGATTATGATTAAAATATCATAACTAATTAATAGTTGAGAGATAACATTATTACTGCTTAGTTAGGAATGATGATACCAAGTCAAATCAAACAATGGAAGAATTTACAAGACCAAATCTCTAAAGTGTGACATTCCTCTAAATACTGATCAAATTTCAGTCAAAAATATCAGCGATCGGATAATCTAAACCATTTCATATTCTGTTAAATTTTATACGCATTGCACAAGTGAGTAACTGTCTTAACTCAATGGCTAAGTGAATAACGCAATGACGTTTGAAGTGAATGGTTCTGGTTTCGAGTCCCAGAATGAAAGTTAACTCTGGAATGCAGTTACATCCAGCTGGAGAGTTCCAAATAGTACGAAACGCGCGTCAAATTGGATTCCACTGCTAGCCACTATCCATCTTTGTTTATTTGAACTGTTTGAATAAGCAAAATCTCCAAAGATTTAATACATTTGTTAACTCGTTTATTGCATATGTTTCTAAATCTCTGAAAACGTGATGTTTATAAAGTTTTAATTTATGGATCACGTAGCCAGATATAGAATTCTCAATCTCTACATACTTTATAACTACAATTTGAACAATTCATTAATCCAGAATTGATTTTTTTCTGATCACAGAAATACATCACATTGAAACTTATGAAGAATCTAATGAAGTATTCAAATCTGATGAAATGAGTCCAGTGGACGATCAACATAAAGGTAAGCTATAAAAATGAAAGAGTCTATTTAAAAACGAACAAAATAAACGGGTCAAATCAATGGAACTCATAGGGAATTCGACAACAGTTATATCGTTGTATTAAACACCTATTCAGAGCATACTTTCGACTATAGACTAATTAAGATCTAGTATATCTACGCTTCCTTGATGGTACAATGCTTTCCATGAAATTATAAAGTTTGATTTCAAAAATGTCTACCAATAAGATGTTCTTTGAGTAGATAATAAAAAAACCCTAATTCAAATTCAGTTTCCAAGGTATTATGATTATCGCAGAGTAAACTACTACAGATATCAACACATTATTAACAAATAATCAAGCCTAAATGATCAAATCAGACTGAAATCAATTCATTTTACAAACTGTAAAAATTAGTCATGGAGTAATGGCTGATCTTGTATGCTACCATTTATCGATTATGTCAAACTGATCACAAACTAGATGATATTGTAAAGATGGATGGTGGCTAGTAGCAGAATCCAGTTTGACGCGAGCTTCATCCAGTTTGGAACTCTTCAGATGTATGTACCTGCATCCTAGAGTTTGTGTTCACTATGGGACTTGAAATAAGTACCACTCGCCTTAAAAGCCATCACGTTATTCACTGAGCTGCTTGAGCGGACGGTACTGTGTTCAAGTTCCATAGTGAACATCAACTCTGGGATCCAAGTATGTCCAGCTAACAATTCTCAAATAGGACGAAACGCGCATCCTGGATTCCACTACTAGCCACTATCCATCTCTGCTTATAATGCTTGTGACTTTAGGTAAAATCGAGGCTATCCGTACAGGCTACATATATGCCAACATGAAACTGATCAATTACAGTCCTAAGTATGTCAAACCTTTATCTGCATATAGACGTTAGACTATTTAAAGGTGATGAGAATTAGAGAAATAGAATAGATCTATTTCATTCTATGTATTATATTATTTTCGCTCTATTAAAATAAAGAATTTTCTAATTCATTAGACGTATTTTGACTAGTACCACAATATCTTCCACTGTACATGAACCGGTTTTACAAAGACACAGATAAGGACTAGTAAAGGGATGTAAAGCATTCCATCTATGTTAAATTGGATTAATGAGTTTAACAGTTGAACATCATATATGGTAGGTCAAACAATGAACACATTTCTTAGAATACTTAAACATTATTAATCGCAGATGATAACTATCTCCTGTTCAGTAAGGAAATTTATAATCACATTCAAAACATCATACTGAAATACAGGTACGCTAAATTAAGATAGGTCCTGGGTTCGATTCGTGGTGACACATAGTAATGAATGCGCAATGCTGAAGAGTCTCATACTGGAACAAAGCAGCTATCCAGCGCTCTCAAGTTTTTAATGGATATTTAACTAAGATCATTCTAGAATGTTAATTATGAAGTAAAAGAAGTCAATTCAAGTTTTCATTAAAGTAATAATCATGAGACATTCGTAGAAAAAACTATGGCAAAAGAGACTATTATGTTGCACCCAAATGCCCTGGTACAGCCGAGAGTGGGGAGAGTACGCTCTCCCTCTCCAAATGCTCTCATATGGCCACGCGTGTATAGCCTCTGACAGGGAAGTCCTACTCACTGCATTCTCGTGATAGGGGTGTTGTTTAAGAAATTCAGAGAACGAAAAGCAAATGTCCGGCGCTCTAACCAGGTTGCTGGACACAGCGAGTCCACCTAGGGGAGTTGGAAAACCCTGATTCCAAACCAATAGTGCACATGGGCTGGCTCCAATATCCTGAGTGAACAAATGGCATATGAATCAATCGTTGGTCACCGGCTACCATGGGACTGCATCTCCTCACGATGCTCCACTGCCTTGTGGATCAGATCTTTCGGTCAAAGGCTCCGGGTGTGGCCCCCTAAGAAAACCACCTGCTTCAGTCTGGGCACCTGGGCAGTATTACCGCCCTCACACAAATCGAATGAGATTTGTGCGACGCATATGTATCTGGTGCTTCCTTGTACCAATATTTATGTGTTTAAATAAGTAAACAAATGAATAAGCCTTATAAATCAGTAATTGGAATTTATAAAGCCTTCTTTTATGGAGTTAATTCAATTAATTCATCTATAATGTCCCTATTGTTTTCAAATACCAAGTCAATAAAAACATTTCAGAAGATGTACATTATAACACAGAAGATGAATTGAATATTTTACGTGATGGTAAGTTAACTGGAATTTTCATAAATTTTATGACTAATTTATAATTAGAAGGGTTTTGTGGATATTTTAGTAATTTCAATAGTTGAGATCATGAGTCAATTGAAGCCAGACAACCGTGGAAAACCTGGAATCACTGGATGGTCGTTTAGTCCTCAGTAGCTCAGTGGTCTAGAGATTAAGCGCTCGCGCGCGAGACTGATAGATCCTGGGCTCGAATCTGAAGAGGCGGGATCGTGGATACGTACTGCTGAGGAATCACACAATTGGACGAAACGGCCGTCCAGTGCTTTCGGGTTTTCCATGGTTCTCTAGCTTCAATTAACTCATGATCTCAACTATTGAAATTAATTCATAATCATTTCAAATATAATTCATAACAGTTGGATTTAAGAATAGTTAGCGTTAAATTCCAACTAGTTATTGTTTTTTTGTAAAAACGGATCCGAATTGATTTCAAATCACTCAGACAGTTCAGAGATAGTTTTCACCAAAACAATTGATAACACCTGACGAACCATTGAAAACTAGGAACTGGACAGCTGTTTGAATCATAATTTAAGGCTTCCTAAAGATCCACTCTGAGGACCCCAAGTGATGTAGCTTAGAAACTTTAGGTTTAGCAACGAGCCAAAGTACTTTTGGACCAAAGAGCTGGAACTCGATGGTTCATATTTTAATATTAAATTGTCCGAATCAGGTGCATTAGGTTTTGATGCTACATTTTTTAAGGTGGTCGATGAAAAACTCTATACACACATTTCGTGCTAGTTGGCACTAGTCACTAGTGGTCAAACTGAAACTTGATTGATATGTGACCAGTCAGTGCTGTCATAACACTTAAAATTGCGAAGCTCAGTAAGGTAGTTTCGGATTCACCAGCTCCCGCAAGACTAGACATAGCTTTCCGACGAATGCCAACTATCACAAAACATAGGCTTAAGGTTTCCAGTCAGTTCCCTCCAACTACCTACCATTATTGTTTAGTCAATTTACAACCCTCGATAAGCGTAGGCATGCAAGAATGTCAAGCTTTAAGCAGCAAATTGCTTCTCACTGCATCCTGATTTTCAATGGTCCTCCAGTTGACTTGAGTTTATGACATAACCAACTTCGGATTTCATAAATCTGTTACTACAATATCATATTTAGTAATCTAAAATTTATCCTGGCTGTTAAAAATGCTGACTAGTTCCAATTTTAGGACTTACCAAGACTTTATGCCGTAAAGGACACTAACAATGACAGCCGTATTTTTGTGTTCATTTAAATCTTGAACTTGGGGGTTGTTACATACTTCCTACCATCCTATCACACTCATTTCTTCGAACTACATTACTAATGTTTGGCTTTCCACTTATTTGTTAGTCTCTTTGTTGATTACTTATCTCGTTGTGATGACCTGAGTTGTAGCAAATCCAGCCTAAAGACATGCATTAGCTCCTACCAAATAACAATTTGAAATTTATTCAACAGAACACGAGCGAAGAACTACATGTATCAGCTGCTTGATCACTCTACCAATGTAGTTTATGAATATATTCTTTTCAAATCAACTATTGTAAACCTTGTATAAGCATGGTCAACTTCGATTAAAGCGAAAATAGCAGCAGGTTTTGCTCAGTTCTCAATAATAGGTGAATAATTCGTTTTCCCCACATCAATCAATTTGAGTCGTGAAAGTCATTGCCACGTAAGCTAAAATATCTATCCAGTTATTGGACTGTATATGGATAATTAGGCGATCAACAAGTTAGAACAGATTAGTTTATATTCGTCAAAAATGTGTAGTCGAGTCACATGCACAGAACGAACTCATTCAGCGAAATGTATTATTAATTCTCCTAGCCTAATGAAAATTATTACAAGCTAACAATGACATGAATCATTCCCCATTACGTTCAAGAATAAATTACATAACTTGTGAAAGTCGGTAACAAAGACCCACGGCTATATTCTTATCATTCAATAAACTTTTGACAGTAACTAACAATAATGACAATAAAGATTCACACTGCCATAATTAAATTCTTTCTCTTTCTAGCTCAACTTTTAGTATCTACCATAATCAAGAAATCGGAAATGAACTTAATGCTTTTTGAAAGTCAACGTAAGTTAGTTGTAACAACTATGATATAATCGAACAAAAATTAATAATTTTGTAGCTTTATTGCAAACTTTCTTTAATCGAGCACATACTGGTATTAGCACCGACTATAGTACTACTAGTGCTTGAAAATGAGTGCACAAACCTGTAGACGTGTTCTAATCAATCAAGCACCTTTGAACTCCAAAATACACAGCCTACGAAGCTGTGAAGTCATTTTTCACTTGGTGTATGTATGATCAACGTAACTGACGAGATTTCTTGATATAGATAAAATTACCGTGCAGAATTTGCTGTTTTCTTTTAGAAATCTGATCCCGAAACAAACACATCGGATTTATTTTTGACATGAGCTGTTGTAATTTAACATTACTGCGCTTTTCCCAGCGATAATGATACAGTTGCACCCTAATTCTCGAGATTCCTCTAGCTAACGTTGATTCGTGATAAAAATGGTAAATGTGAAAAAGATCAAGGTAGGAAACGTTCTAATTTATGGATACACACACTAGGTTCAGGAAGCAACACAGGAAACCCTCTATAACTATAATCAGTATATATTGCTTTACCTAATTCACGGAACTCAGAATTCATAAGCAGATAGGAAAGACATGAGAGTCGGTCCTAAACAACACATACCTCTCATTACTTAATAGATTGCTTAGTTAATTTGAAATAAAAAGAAATACTGATGATTGCGATTATTTAAATGAGTCAAAATAACTAATGACATTTATGTTTTCACGATGGGATCCGAGGTTTACATAAAGCTAGTAATTCAATCACTTGCGCGGAAAAGCATATACACTGTTGGCCACTTCATCGTCAACTTAGAAGAAATAAGTTTTAACATCAAGTGAACCTGAGAACTAGTGCCAGTAATCAAGGAGCAGAAATACACAAAAGAAACGACTTCCAGCTTCAATGGGCATGAAAGCAACACCATGATTGTTCAAACAAATAAACATGCAAATAAATGTTTCGAAATTGAGTGTTTGGTCACAGATACACTGAACAATTACCGTGAATTTAGAATCATAATCAAAAGCACGAATAATTCAAGACTCCTGGACAGCTTAGTGTATTTTAGATACTAAAACGTAGTACGTAGCTTAACTCACGTCATTATCTGGGGATGAACATTAGATCTAATTCGTTTTTTCTTTGCTGATTCCTTTCAGGTTAAGTTATCACGAATACAAGATGATTTCTCCAAACTGTCAGTATTATTTTTGCATACTTAAAAAAGTAACAAAACCAATACAAATGCAGTTCATATTTCTTTTATTCAATTATTTCTATATAGTTCCTTTGATGTTATGATAATACATATATACGCAATAAAATATGCAGAACGTTTAAAATAACAAAAAGTGGTTTTCTTTTAAATTTTATAACCTAGTATGTTAGTTACCATGATTAAATGTGAACTACGTGAACACAATTTGAAGAGATTAATGAATGAAATCAACCTACGGGTAGATAAACATAAGTTTAACGTTCAACAGCTCAATATACAATATAAAGTGAATAGTCCTCTTTACTCATAACGAAGCACTACACTAGACAACTGATTCAATATTAAATCATTAAAATGATTTACAAAAGCAGTCTTTAAGTACAACATAATGCCGCTAAAAACGAGTTAGTTAGCTTGAATTAAGTACCTGAACAAATGCAGAGAATGAAATGTGTCCATTTAATGCAGTCTATCCAAATGAACGACTTGAAACAACAATGACTCATCACACTAACCAACTCTCATTATTATTTCATTGTATTGTCCAGTCAGAAACAGGAAATCTTATCAAACAGATATACAAAATGAGAAAATAAACACTTTTCATAAAATCAATATGTTTGCACAGAAATTGCCAACACAATGATAAACAAGCTTGATTTCTATAAACATGAATCAGTAATGCTATAAAATCCTTTGCCTTGAGATTTGTACAGGGAGTTGTTTCTGTCTTACGGCTGAAAGTGAATGGTGACGGTTAATGGATCTAGACTCCCGGTGGCGGTGGGGGAGGAGGTGGATTGGGTACAGAGGCTGCGTAACCTCCCGCATAACCTGCCCAATAATCGGTGGGTGTGGGCAAATAGTAAGGAGGAACCATTGCCGTACCTAAAAAAGGAAAAGGGAATCTTTACAGCAAACACCAACAGAAATCACATTAAACAAAGGGACAGAAAAGTCACATGCAAAAAAATTGTCAACAATGCTCTTACCAAAATATCGCATGTTTAGCAGCCCGGAGTAAAAACAAGACTATTCTTTATACATATTATGATATACGATTTTGAGAACCGTATCCACACTGTTACCGAAACGGTTGATATTATAACACCAATTCACAAAGTGATTCTAAACAATTCAGTGGCATTCACAAGCGATTCTTTTATGCAATACATAAGAATTGAGAGAAATAATCCTTACTCAGTCAGCTACAACGTAAGACCACGCACATATATGCATCGGTTCAAGTTGTTATACCTCATTAGCACAATAAGATGAACACCGAATTCATAGAAGTAGTTAATTTAGTGGTGGTAATATATAAAAGATAGGTTGTATATAAGGATATAGTATAGGAAGGAAGAACGTTATGAAGCAATTTTAATCTCAAGGTTTAAGGAAAGATAAAGAGTGTATACACCTACGACATTGTGATCGATTCTGAGCCATGTCACGCAGTCTCCAACCATTGGTTACGATAGTCACGCGGACCCCAACCAAGTAGTCTACATCTGCCAACATGGCTCAGACTAGAAGTTAGTGACTTCAAGCACTGATGCCACGTTTTAGTTTGGCCGTCCCTAACTTTCTTCTAACCATTTACAACACTAGTCAGCATTAAGTGCCGTGGTAGTTGGTGGTTGGATATGCGTAATACGTGGCCCAACCATCTCAATCGATAAAGATTCACAACCCCATCAAATGATTTACCATCATTCCCTAATACCCTGCGTCTAACCTCACCATTACTTACCCGACGATCACAGCAGATGCGAGCAACATTTCTAAAAAATCTGTGGTCAAATACTTGTAACCTACGAGTATCCTCTACTCTTAATGGCCACGTTTCGCAGCCGTATAGTAGAACAGAGCGAACTGCTGCGCAGTATACTCGTCCCTTAATTGATAGACGGATATCTCGTCGTCGCAATAGGTATCGTAAGTTGGCAAAAGCCAAACGAGCTTATTGAATCCATGTACAGATTTCGTCAGACACCAACCCATTACGGCTGACCAGACTTCCAAGATAAGTGAAGTTGTCGATGTGTTCGACTACTTCACTCCCTATCCTTAGTTCAGGTGTTGATGCAGACCAGTCCTGGAGTAACAATTTAAATTTAGAGGGGCAGAAACGCATTCCAAATATCCTGGAATTGTTACTCTGCATTTTACCAGCGTCTTCACCAAACAGGACTATGTCATCTGCGTATTCTAAGTCCATAAGTGGACCTTATTAAGTTCTTACGTAGACTAATGATTTGAAAGATGATGAGTTTTGATCGATTTACATCAAGAACAATAGTTAAGATTTTCGAAAAAGTTTGTAAACTAGCATCACGTTGCCAACTAAGTCGAAATGCAAATAATTAGTTGCGATGGGTCTGTACACTGATGGAAATAAATTCAAATTATTTAAGACTACTAACCGGGAACAGGTACGCCAGCTGGTATTTGTGATGAGCTATCACTCCAAGAAGCTGATCCAGGGACGGAGGGATGCCAATGATTTAGTGAGGAACCACCATTTGTCACTTCCGAATAAGCTCCTGAAACTGCGGGGACTCCGGAAGTAGGATAGGCTGCAGTTGACGGATACCCAGGCATAGGTGGTACGACTGCAGGAGTCGCCCACGGAGTAACAGGTGTCACCATAGGTGTGTATTGAGAGGGAGGAGGGGGTGGTGGTGGCAAAGCAAATGCATACTGGTTGGGAGAAGAAACCGTGGTTGCAACCGTTGAAGTTGTTGTAGCACTAGTACAATTTGTTCCTGCGTCTGCATCGTCGTCATCATCAAAAGAGGCGACACCAGGAGGCGGAGGCTGACGAGTAGGACGGGTAGGTTGTGGTTGTAAAGCATTGAAGCCTCTAAGACCTGAAAATAAGACAAATGCAGCAGGATCTCTGTGATGCATTAACATATCGTGGAAGTTAAATGACAGTAATCAAATGCTTCCTCAGTAAACTTTTAGGTAATACAGGTACACATCCAAAAAATGGAGAAAAACTACTGGAAGCGGCATATTTTAAATTCTGAGTGAGATTTTCTTTAGAAAATAACTGGAAGAGTGGTATATTTCTGAATACTTCGTATAGTAATTAAATCTAGTGATAAAGTGTAAAAATGGCTATCAGTCAAATGAAAGTGATCGCTCAAAAGATTGTTAAGTCGGTCTTTTATCCTTACTTTCACCAGCATTAAATCTTTAACAATCTATTTAACCTCTCTCTTCAGTAGTTGAATTGCAATAATCTAAAAAAACATTCATTATATACCTGGTGTGAATCGTTAGTTGTTAGTATATTCTTATCAGGGTACCGAAATTCATAGGATAGGAGTTAAATAATGCTTGACATGAACGCACGTTATTTCCACAATTCTTTTTTACTCGAGTTAAGAGTCAATAATTTTATGATTTACCGTTGAAGTATCTACAATTCTGATAGACACTTTCAGCATACAAATTTAGGACTTTATTTTCTTTGCCGGTATATTTTTCACTTGAACTATTTAGAAATGGCATATGGGAGAGGATAAGTGTAATTTCTTGATCCTCTTTAGTTACATCCTGGGTGCGACCTGATCGCAGATAAGATTTTGATACAAAATCTGACGAATAGATGGATAAATAAACTAAGATTTAAAAATGAGAACAGATTAACCAAATAGGACAATGGGACGTTATTTCTAGAAACTAAATTTGATAGAATGATGTGCTTATTAGCCTAAAATACTTCGACAACTATCACATCAGATCCTATATTTGGAGTTACTATTTACATGTCTCAGCATATTAAATCGAATTTCCTGATACCTGTCAACGGAAAAATGAATGATAACTGCTAGGGATTATTTATGGATCATCATTACATATATTCCCGTTGGATAACTAAGTAATTGGATTATGTATATTCCTTATGTTACAAGCTTTCATTTGACCTATTGACTACTGTTATACGACTTATCATTCTTAATTGATTCCCAATTTATTAGTTACAGTATCCCATACAGCCATTTTGGGCTCGATCTTGTACAACTGTTATTTTTAACTTTATGATGTGATTCGGTCTAATATGTTTGTATATAAACCACGTATTTCTGGAATAAACGATTCACACAGAGGAGGCCGATGTTCGTGTTCTGAACTGAACGGGCTAGGTTAGGCGATAGGCTACTACACAGGACCAACAAGGACTCAAAGTCGATTCAACGCTGCTGGTGCTGTTTTGACACATCATTAGTTTGGCAGAGGCAAGGTCGTAGAAGTCGAAATCCTAATTGGAGGTTTTATCAAGTGATATTTGACGGGCCATAGGAAATAGCAAATCCGCAAATGTATGAATCCAACACAATTTTTGGAGTTACTCGCCTATCATTGAGGAAAAGCTATTAGAATGGAGTGTTTCTATTGAATTATCGTAGTTACTAGTGACTAATACTAACATTCGTTTATCCCAAAGAATTCGGTCTCATAGCAGCATTTAGGAATGAAGTGAATCCCAATCATATACGCTCCTTCGTTAAAGACTGTTAACTAGAAACTTATTGTTGTATTAAAGCTGACAGTTAGGAATATTCAGCTTCATATCTCAATCGATCTCTACTTTTCGATGTAATCATTCACATCTTGAACTCGTGAACTAATTTCGAAGTTCGATTTCCATTCAGAACATTAGGTTGAACTCCTACTCGCCTGGTTTTACAAACTCGTAACTACTTTTATATACCATTTAGAATTAAAACCATACCGGGAGGCAAGCCTTGAGAACCACCTACACCGAGCTCCGCCATTAATGCAGTATATTCGCTATCCATTTTTGCTCTTTCACTGGGGTTGGCATTAAGCTGATCAAGATACGCCTGACCACCCAACAGTGCTTTACAGTCGGTTGACAGATGTCCAGCACCTAAAATAGAAAATAAACGTCAGTTAATTACCAAAACAAAGATTTTATAAAAAATGAGCACTGGTAGTTAATGACAGACAATCTGATTTTGGAAGGCAGCATCCTAGATCCATACACAAAGTGGCGTAGAGTGAGTCTGTATTATCTTTATGGTGTGCTTAAAACTTCAGGAACGAAAAGTGAACGGATATTTTAGGCAAACTGCGTTCTAAATAGGTGACCACTGG